ACACACCAGGTCGTCACCCGCAGCTCGGCGACGTCCAGCAGCACATCAAGACGTTCGAAGCGCAAATGTACCTCGCGTCCGACGCGGAGATTGACGGGGATGGAAAGCGCATCAAGTTCTTTACGTACGGCGCCCGCGCGTTTGCCGAGGTGGGCAAGGTCCAGATCCTCACCTTCATGTGCAAGGTAGTACTTCCTTCAACCCCCATATATGCAGGACGACGTCGACGTGTCTCTCGTAGCTCATTCACAACCGACCGCCGAGTGCAGAGATGCTCCACGAACTCGCCATCGAAATGCGCAACGAGCGCGAGTGATGCGACCCCATCCTGCGCTCGTCCTATATTCCAGTAGTCGTAGAAGTATATCAATACACACTTGCTCATCACGCACGGCGTTGCCGCCGTCGACCAGAGATCCATCGTCGCGGTAGCGACGCATCCGCTGTCTGACCCCACGCCACATACCCGCAAGTAGCAGGATGGAATAATGGATGGAACCCATGCATCAATGTATTCTGCAGCAATATGTGATCAGTCTTCTCTACCACGTCCTCCAGTATAGTCCAGCCGACCTGCATGCAATGGATTTATCGCGCCTTTGACGCCATATAACAGTGGTCGAGCCCTCTACGTCACTTTAGAGTTCGTCTTGTGATTTCCTGACAAGAGGATCTGTCCTTGGGTGATGGTTCGTTTCTTAGGCGAAAGGGTGGTGTTTAAAAACACCAGATGTAAAGAGACCGAAGTCCCCGTTGAGAGTGATTGCACTCATCAAACCCCGCAGATTTAACCGCCGAAGCCGTAGAGCGTGCGGCCCTGGCGCTTAAGCGCGTAGACGACGTCCATGGCCGTCACCGTCTTGCGGCGAGCGTGCTCCGTGTACGTGACCGAGTCCTTGATGACGTTCTCGAGGAAGACCTTGAGGACACCGCGCGTCTCTTCGTAAATGAGGCCCGAGATACGCTTGACACCGCCACGGCGAGCGAGACGGCGGATGGCGGGCTTGGTGATGCCCTGGATGTTGTCGCGAAGGACCTTGCGGTGGCGCTTCGCGCCGCCCTTGCCGAGACCCTTGCCGCCCTTGCCACGACCAGACATGTTTGTTCTTGTGTTTCTTGGAGGGAAAACTGAAAATGACAAAGATGCGGCCTGTCGTTTGATCATCGCCGTCTTTTGGAACCCGCGCGGCGCAGACACGGTCTTTTGATTGGCGCAACCATAATCTGCCGTATTTGATTGGCGGAATACTTTCATGTGTCGTTAGGAATAGACCAATGAAGAGGCGGCATCCTCGGGAGAGCGTCGACTACACCAATCGTCGAGCAGCTCAAAAACATGAGGCGCAATTTGGCGCCAAAGTTGGGCGGCAATTTCCGCGCGGCCAAAAGAACCGGCGCGTCGTGGCAGTTTGCCCCGGAAACCTGCTTCCGTCCGGACAACGGCGATCTAAGATGCCTCTCTTCGACGAGCTACGTCGTGTCACCATTGATAGCACTGGTAGAGGCGAGAGACGCAGTGCTCGTCATCGTGCTTACATAGCCGTACTATTGAGGGTGCGTTGAACGACACCTGGGCACACTCGCTTGAGAGAACGAGAAACAAACGACGGGAGTCGGCGGTCGACTACGCATCTGATTCGCTCGTCGCATCACCGCGATGTGGGATCTCATACAGTATGTGCCGTTGCACTTGAAAAGGTGAGGAAAGGTCCAGCCCATGAGTGGTCCCACTCGAGCACGCGCGTTCCAGCCAACAGACTTGACAGCCCAACGATGCGACCAAAGCATCGTCTTCTCGCCACCTCACTCTCGAATTGATCATGCACGGCATCTCCCTTCTTTCCATTCTCGCGATCGCATCGGCTGTCACGGCCCAACAGTTCAAGGCCTGCAAGGTCGACACCGACTGCCTCAGCGACTTTCACTGCAAGCCGACGGTGGACGGTGCTTTCTCCATGTGCCAGCCCGGTGCGCGTCCCCGTCCCATGCCCCCTGTTGTCCCGAAATGTGTGTGGGCGCATGGCCAAATTGTTTGCGGGCGTCCGCTTGAGTAGTTGAACTCGATCGTATTCCTACGATAATGACGTTGTGACTGAGATTTGTTTTGTGTTGCGACGAGCTACTGACGACCCGAAAACTACGCATCTCGATCTCGCGTCTGCGCTGACCAAAGCTCGGGTGAGAGCGACGTCCTTTCAGCGTGTCGCGTCCTGATGGAGGTAGGTAGCTGCTTGGTCCCTCGATACGAATGACGCCGCTACAGCCACCTTGGCACCATGGTCCCGTCCGTCGTTAGCCTCCGAGGTTGGGCGAGTGCCTTGGAGACTGTCAGCAATCATTTTGATCGAGCTTTATCGCGTTTGTAGTGAAGCTGGCTCGGCTACGAAAGCGCAAATGAAGGAACACAGCAATGCTGCATGAGAATTCAACTGATGGCAACGATGGCAGCCAAGACACCGCCATCACTTGTGGCCTCCATAGCTAGGACTTGCATGGGCGAGGCGCAGCCTGCGCATATGGGTATGTCAATCAAGTCGAGAGAAAACACTACGCTGACACTCTTACGTCCCAGCCCTCTTGTGATGCTCAAGTCTGCCGGGTCGCGCCCAGTCGCCTCGGTGCTTCATTAGGGTCTGGAACACAGGTAGATTGACAGCCTTTGAGCTCTGCAATCCTCTTCAGATTGCCGCTCATTCTGTAGTAACGTTAGCAGTAGTGCCGTGCACGAGTAGTTGAAGCGTTGCTCAGCAGGACGAAAGACGGCAATAGAACTTCAGCACCAGCCTTGCTTCAATATGACAGATGCACAGTGCAGTCCATAGCGACGACGGTATCAAGCCAGGGTAGAGCCCAGGCGCAATAATGCAGCAGCACATGCAGATGTGTACAGCCTCGATCTCTGTACCCCGGCATCTTTAACTTTCAATAACAGGGCTCGCACATTACCCTAACTACTGCGACTCCTCATAGCATTGCCTGCATCCACTGCGTTTCGCAGACCAGACCACAGGCCCGATGGTTTGTTTCTTAGGCGAAAGGGTGGTGTTTAAAAACACCAGATGTAAAGAGACCGAAGTCCCCGTTGAGAGCGATCGCGCTCATCAAACCCCGCAGATTTAACCGCCGAAGCCGTAGAGCGTGCGGCCCTGGCGCTTAAGCGCGTAGACGACGTCCATGGCCGTCACCGTCTTGCGGCGAGCGTGCTCCGTGTACGTGACCGAGTCCTTGATGACGTTCTCGAGGAAGACCTTGAGGACACCGCGCGTCTCTTCGTAAATGAGGCCCGAGATACGCTTGACACCGCCACGGCGAGCGAGACGGCGGATGGCGGGCTTGGTGATGCCCTGGATGTTGTCGCGAAGGACCTTGCGGTGGCGCTTCGCGCCGCCCTTGCCGAGACCCTTGCCGCCCTTGCCACGACCAGACATGTTTGTTCTTGTCGATTTACTGGAAAATTGAAAATGACACCTTTCAGGCGCCAGTTTGGACCAAGTGCAAAAGCTCGCACAATCGACCTAGATGTGAGGCGCGCATGTCCGTGTTTCATTGGCCGTCTCAAAATACGTGTTGTGGATTGGCGGAAAGTTTTATCATTGCGCCACGATGCACCCAATTACAGCGCATGTATCATAGGAAAATGCGGTGATTGGCGGAAAGTTTTGATGGCGCGCCATTAGACCTACGATAAACGACACGAATCTCGCATGGATGGCATCCATCCTTTCATTTTCAAAAATCGATTGACCGAATAACATGGCTCGTACGAAGCAGACCGCCCGCAAGTCCACCGGTGGCAAGGCCCCGCGCAAGCAGCTCGCCACCAAGGCCGCCCGCAAGAGCGCCCCCGCCACGGGCGGCGTGAAGAAGCCCCACCGTTACCGCCCGGGTACGGTCGCTCTCCGTGAGATCCGCCGCTACCAGAAGTCGACGGAGCTCCTCATTCGCAAGCTCCCGTTCCAGCGCCTCGTCCGCGAGATCGCCCAGGACTTCAAGACGGACTTGCGCTTCCAGGGCTCGGCCGTCCTCGCCCTCCAGGAAGCCGCCGAGGCGTACCTTGTCGGCCTCTTCGAAGATACCAACTTGTGCGCGATCCACGCCAAGCGTGTCACGATCATGCCCAAGGACATCCAGCTCGCCCGCCGCATCCGTGGCGAACGCTCGTAAATTGGCGGTCCCCTAGCATCTTGCTACTGCATTCACCTGGTGTTTTTTAACACCACCCATCTCACTGAGAACTTATTTATCCTCCATGGGCCTCCACAATCTATCCATGAGATGTAGTGATCTAGTAAATTCCTTGGCGTATCTTCATGACAAGCCCGTGTATGACAGCTGTGAGCAATGCCCAAGCCCGCCCAGGCTGCATGCAACCTTGGGCTGCAAACCTCCCGATATGATCGACGAGCGCAACAAGACCTACCGGTACGGTTCTCAGGCCCAGGCTGGCCGGGACAGTTGCGCTTGACCGGTTCGCATCACGTCAACGTCAAAGGCGTTGTACACAGTGCGACTGCGCCCATCTCTTGCGCGAGCGCTTGCTGTGTCGGCGAATCTCAAGGTTCAAAAGGAAGGACGAGCGATACTTGGCATGGCTTTATTGACCCTTGCTGCGCGCATCAGAGATCCATCTTGGTCCTCCTGATCCCTTCACGTCGCATGCGTCGGTCGTTTGCAGCATGTAAGCAAGGCTTTTCACCCTCGGTTCCTCGTCCAATATCTCTTCTACTTTGTATCTACCGTTCTTCCTGACGAGGACGATCCTCCCGTAGCAACCAAGCCGCTGCGAGCCCAGCGCTCCGGCGCCGAGGGTATTGCCTGCTGCCGCCGTCCAAATTGTATGTACTTCACTTGACTCCATCAGTTTGGGGCCGTCGACATGCGCGAACCCAACTCGAAGCTCGTCGCGCGGCTGCGGCGAATCCCACGCGCCAAAGGGACCCAATATTATGTGCGCTGCTAACGTAAACACGAATTCCGCTATTTATACTGCCGACGAGGGCTTGTCAACGGTAGCCTTGGCACCTTCGCACCGCGTCTTTGGCTCGTCCGACCAGACTAATGAAGCTCTGATGCTATTAACATGGCGTCGTCGCGGTCCAAGTTGCCTGCACGGGTGCAGGCGATGGACATGTGGAATGTGGATCCAAAAACGCGCGCGCTGGGACAAGGGAATTTTCAGATCTGTTATCCGGATACCGGATACGGTCGGCGCAAAGAAAAGGTGTGGCACGCGCCGCGAGACGTGAAAAATAGATTGCCCACGTGAAGATCGTATGTTGCCACTGGATTTCTGAGGTTAATCCAGGGCCGACGACGCATCCCTGGGTTTAGTGACCGCTTGCGGAAGCACGGCGTCGACCCATCCAGTATCTTTGCGTCCGCGCACACAAACAGGGGCTATTCCTCTGCGTTTCTACAGCGACGCAATGGTCTTGGCGACGACAGAGGCTAGCTGCTACATATCGAGTTGGACACGACCATGGGCAGCAGCACTGTCGTTGGCCCGCCACAAACAACCTGGCACATCTCCAAGCCGCGTCCGAGTTCGGCGGTAAATATCGACCCATGAACCGAGTGCCCTAGTCGCACGACTCGAACGATGGTAGATCTCAGGCTGTGGTGTCATCGTCGTGCAAACCTTTTTCCATGGTCGGGAATAAGCCGGCGCGATGCACCACACCGTCAGCCAAACCCCATGTCGTTATTCCGAGGGTATCCAATGAGTTTCCCACGTGGAAAATACGTGTTCATGTGAAAAAGGCCATGGGTGCGTTCGATTTTGGGCTTGCGTCGAGTAGTATCCCTCGGCGTCATTTCCGAAATCCCTGCCTTCTACCACCATGAGCAGCCTCCCACCATCGCCCTCGAACGCGAGCAGCAGCGTCCCGCCGTCGCCGACGGCCTCGACCCACGCCGACCTGCCCGAGGTCACGGAGGTGGCGCCGCCGTACTTGGCCAAGCACCCGAAGGGCTTTGGCGAGATGCGCTTCATGAAGGACGTGGTCGTGCGCGAGACGTACCTCTTGCCCGTGCCCCACCTCTCGACGTGGATTCCAGACGGCAACAAGTTTGCGCCTAACGAGCGCAACATTGACACCCAAGACAAGCTCGACGAGACCGACTACACGGACCGGAAGGCCACGTACAACCGCATTATGTCCCAGGACGACGTCATTCTTGGCGACATTCGCCGCCACCCGCGCCAGCAGCCCATCTCGCGCGCGTACCTTCGCGCGGGCCCGCGCCCGACGCTCTACTTTGAGCCGAGCGAGGTCAAGGCGGCGATCGTGACCTGCGGCGGCCTCTGCCCTGGTCTCAACAACGTCATCCGCGATATCACGCTCGCGCTTTGGAACTTGTACGGCGTGCGCGACATCTTTGGCATCCGCATGGGCTTCGTCGGCTTCCACAACTGGACGGACCTCAGCGACAAGGAAGCGCCGCTCATGCTCACGCCCGACGTCGTCTCGACCATCCACCACTCGGGCGGCACGATCCTTGGCTCGAACCGTGGCGGCTTTGACAAGGAAAAGATCATTGAGTTCCTGACGACCCACGGCGTGAACCAGCTTTACGTCATTGGCGGCGACGGCACGCACCGCGCTGCCAACATCATCGCCGAAGAGTGCCAGCAGCGCAAGCTGCGCATCACGGTCGCCGGCGTGCCCAAGACGATCGACAACGACGTTGATCTTCTCGACCGCAGCTTCGGCTTCAACACGGCGGTCGAGGAAGCCCAGCGCGCGATCCGGTCCGCGGTCGTTGAAGCCCGCTGCGTGCCCAACGGCATTGGCGTCGTCAAGCTCATGGGCCGCTCGGCCGGCTTTATCGCTGCCCATGCTACCTTGAGCAGCGGCGACGTCAACCTCTGCTGCATCCCGGAGGTACCGATTGTGCTGGATGGACCCAAGAGCTGCCTCACACACGTCGAGCGCGTCGTCGCCGAGAAGGGCTACGCGGTCGTCGTCGTCGCCGAAGGCGCAGGCGAAGAGCTCCTCGGGACGTCGGCGGTCGTTGACGCCGGCGGCAACAAGAAGCTGCCGCCGATCGGCGAGTTTATGAAGAAGGCGCTCATTGCGCACTTTGAGACGGTCGGGCTCACGGCGACGGTCAAGTACATTGACCCGTCGTACATGATTCGGTCCGTGCCGGCGAACGCGGCCGACTCGCTCTACTGCATGCTCCTCGGCCAGAACGCGGTGCACGGCTCGATGGCCGGCTACACGGGCTTCACGGTTGGGCTCAGCGCCAACCGCACCGTCTTCTTCCCGATCACGGCTATCACCAAGAACTCGCCGCGCTGCGTGGACCCGGTTGGCCGCACGTGGGAACGCGTGCTTTGCATGACGCGCCAGCCCAACACGGTGCCCGACGACTTTCAATTCGATCGCGCCACGTCATCCAACTTGGTGTAATCCCTTAACATGCTGCTTGTATATTCTGTTCCTTCCCGACTCTTCTCGCGGACGAAGGCAATGATTCGAGCTTCCCGGCAAGCGACAAGCATGTCAAGCACCAAGATCGTCTCCGAGGCCGTACGTACATTGTGTACGCCATCGTACGCTTAGACGTGTTTTCAGTATATTGATACGTCCTATGTACAGGGTACGTACATCAATGTATCGTTCGCCATGTAGATTTCCACACAAAGCGCAGCTACTATCAAGTCGATACAACGGCATGGAGCAAAAAGGGTGGGCCTTTGTTAAGGCTGGACTGCGTGCAGTCGCAGGTGAATCGTGATCAAGAGATTTGCCCTACATAATTTCTCACTGCTGGTATGTGTCGGCCTCACGGGCTAACATTACCGGCGCCACACCATCGCCAGCTTCGTATTACCAGCCCGAGTGGTCCCGTAACCAGCGCCATGCACAACTAACCTTATCTCATCTCCAACGCCTGTCTCGATCGAGGTTAAACCTATCACAACGAGATTAACTAGCGTCCAAAGATCTGGCACGACAAGGGTCACAATGATGGATCCTGTTGGGCACGACGCAGATCTGGATCTGGACTGGCGCGACCAGAAAATGCAATCTGAATCCACCAATCACACGACCGGTCGCATCCGCGCGGACCAATCACAGATTAATTGGCCGGCGATGAAGTCGATTGCGATCCGCCATGACGCCGTCAAGGTCTGCGAGGAGCGCATCGTCATCGACGTCGACGAGGGCCATCGCCTCGACATCTCGCTGCTGCTGGTAGCTGTCGCTGCCATCTCTTCTTCGCCTCATCCTGCTGCTTGTAGGACGAGCAAGAGCTCGCGCCACTCTTTTGCGGCGCCGCGTGGGCAGGCACGCTCGTGTGGGAAGCCGCCGAGCTCATCTCCAACTACGTTCTGAATGAACTCGACGTGCGCACGCTGCGTGTGGTCGAGCTTGGCGCTGGCTTGTATGCCTCCATACCGTCATGCTATCCTTGCTGAGTCGTTGCTGCCTGTACTAGGGGCGTCCCCGGCATGGTCGCTGGCATCCTTGGCGCGCCGCACGTGGTCCTGACGGAGCAGCCCGAGCTCGTGCCGCTGCTTCGCACCAATATCCGGCGAAACTTTAGCGCCTCCAACGTCGAGGCCGCCGTCTTGAGCTGGGGCACGGAGGCGACGACGGCGTTTTGCGCGCGCTACGGCGCCTTTGATCTCGTCCTCTGCTGCGACTGCATTTACGAGCCGCTGTACGGGCAGTCGTGGCGTGCGCTCGCGCTCTCGATGGACGTGCTCTGCGCTGCGAACCCGGCGTGTCGCGTGCTCGTCTCGGTCGAGCGGCGCCATGGAGACGGCATCGACGCGTTCCTGGCGTTTCTACCGGATGCCACGTCGCTGTCGGCGACGCTGCACCGCCGCGTGCCCAAGCCCACAAAAGCACTCTGCGACGAAGGCGACGTCCTCGAGATCTACCTGATCCAGCACCGACCTGCACCGTCGCACATGATTTCGTAATCGCATGCCAAAACAGCAGCGTGTGCTTGTGTGTTCATATAGCGTGTGGTCTCGGTTTGCCAAGGCCGCCGGGTTTTACATGGGGTGGTGCCACACCTCTTCGCAGTGGTAGGCCTTGGGCGTGAGCTGGATCACGACGTGCAGCGGGATGTCGATCGTCGGGCACTCTTCCGGCGACTTGTTGGTCAAGTACGCGTACAAGACGCGGAGAATCGCTTGGTGGGCGACGATGAGCACGGGGCGGTCGAGGCGCATGAGCTCCGTAATGACCGGCTCCAGGCGGTGGATCACGTCTTGGTACGACTCGCCGCGCGGGTACCGGTAGTGGAGCTTGTTTTGCTTGCGCGCGAGGTACTCGTCCGGGTAGCGCTCGGCCACCTGCGGGTACGTGAGGCCGTCGCAGATGCCCGCGTCAATCTCGTCGAGCTGCTTCCACTTGACGACCGTGCGGCCGCGCGCCGCAATGCGCTCGACCGTCTGGCCCGTCCGCGCCATCGTCGACGTCCACACGCTCAGCCGCGTGTCCTCCGGGTAGTTGGCGATGATAAACTTGTCGAGCTGCTGCGCGTACATGGCGCCGTGGGGACTCAGAAGCGAGTCGCCGCCAATCTTGCCCTGCGTGTTGTACATGCTCTGGCCGTGGCGACTGAGCCAGATCGGGCGCGGACGGATCTGGAGATTCGCCATCAAAAACATGATGCGGGACTGGAGGTAGCCGTAGACTTGGTTGCAGAACATTTGCCGGCCCACGTCAATGACCTAGCGCTTGTGAAAGATGAAGAGAAAATCACTTGTACCTTGATGTACGAGCACGCCTCCGTGTCTTCGAGCGGCTTGTAGATCGAGTGGTAGTGCCCAATGCGCTGGTTGTAGTCGACAATGACCTCTTCGAGCGTGTTCTTCTCGTAGTCCTTCGAGTTGAGCTTGATCTCGTTGATGGAGATCGCAATCAGATCTGGATCGTCGCAGATCGACTCGATGAAGAGCATCTCACAGCGCGACCGGCGCGCGACTTCTTCGCGAATGTAGTGGCGGCGCTAGATCCAGACACGATCAGAATCCAGTGGCCGTACCAGACGCAGACCTCGAGCGTCGCGTTCGTCGCGTCAAACACCACGCACGTGCACGCGTCGCTCGTGAGCGCATCAAGCGCGTCGCTGAGGCACTTTTTCGAAATCTAGGAACGAGTCGTATCAGATTCGATCTGGGACACACCAGATGTGGTGGACCTCGGCGCGCTTTTGGTAGTCGGCCGTGTTTTCTGGGTTCCAAAAGTCGTGCTTGATACCCGCGCCCACGTACTCGCGGCGGTACTCGCTCGTGTTGTACACACGCGTCGTGTGGCCCATCCACGTCAACTACCAGATCTGGTTTGCCGCCATCACCCAATGAACGCAACGTACGTGGCGCGCCAGAATGTGGCCAATGAACGTCTTGCCGCGGCCCGGAAGACCGACCAAGACGATCATGAGCTTGCCGTTGCGCTGCGGGCGCGGGTCCATGGCCCCGACCGTCACGCTTGGCGCTGCAATGAACGAGCGATGACCGCCCATCTGCATTCGAAGTCAGAAGATCATCCATGGGTTTCTCTACCTTTTCGCGCTCTTGGTGTTCTTGCGTCACCAGATCGCCGCCAAAATGCTACACCTTGGTCCATCGACGTGCGATGCAAGAAGGAGATGCAGTACCTGGGTGCGGGCGGCGAGGAGAACGCTGTTGGTGCTATACTCACGCACGACGGCTTGGGGCAGCTTGGGCGCGGCGAAGAGCTTCTTCGGGTCAATGATCTCGGCTTCGTCGAGCTTCGGGAGCGACTCGGCGCTCTTGGAGCGCGTGATCGAGCCGGACCGCGCCGCGCGCGACGTCTCGTCCGTGACGTTGAGGCCATACTCCGAGTCGTCGGTCGTCGACGCCTACGTTCGGGATAGAGAGATTCCTTCGAGTCGGATGGTTGTTATACCTTGCGCGCAAGGGGCGGCGCGGCCCCAACGACCATCTTCTTCTTGGTCAAGAGCAGCGGCGACGCAACGAGCTTGGGCGAGAGCGGGCGGAGGCCAGGCGACGACGAGTTGGACGAGCTCGGGTGGAGGCGCACGGCCTTGGACGCGACGGACGCGACCGGGTTCATCGTCGGAAGGCTGCTCTCGTCGTCGGAGCGGATCATGGTCTCGAGCGGCGCCTGGATCCCGTCCTTGGCGACAATCATGATAAAGTTGTTGAGATTCCCAAACTCGTCCGGGGCAAAGGCCGACTCGGGGTTGTACTTCCATGAGACGTCGTCGACAAAGTACTTGAACGTGTGGAGGCCCACGGGCAGCTCGAGCACGATCGAGTACGTCCCGTCCTCGCCCTTCTCCATGTCAATCTTGTCGCCCCAGCTACAGAGGCGCATGAGCATCCTCATCCGCGTCGACCTCTGCCTCGGAAGGCCATATACTTGTTGAAGGAGCCCGCAAGCTGGACGTTCTTGCAGGGCTGCGGCCAGCGGAAGAGGGCGCGGTACTGCGTTTCCATGGGGCGTCTACTGGCGATGGCCTTCTTAATCCGATTCTGAGCTTTTTTCTGCACGACAAACAGCCGCTCCGGGCTTTTCCCGGACTTGGCAAGATACGACGACGCCATGGGACCCTTCCGACCGGCGGTCTTGGCGCTGCTTGTAGTTGGACTCATGGCGGTCAGCGGGATGCGCGTCGAGATGGGCCCGCGCTATGGGCTCGATGGGGCAAATGCCAAAGTGCCCATGGCGGACGAGGCTCGGCGCCACATCCTCGCTGGCGTTCAGCAAGACAAAGCCGGTATTAAAGATTCGCCGCCCATCCTCGCCGCTTCTTCGATACTACTCGCCTCGTAGATTCGCTCTACCTCTGGGGGCTCATGCACTACTACGGCCATGGCGTCCATGTGGACATACAAACGGCCTTGCGCTACATGCGCCTTGCCGCGCGCAAGCGGCATCTCGATGCGACCTTTACACTCGGCATGCTCCATCACGATGGGCTCGGTACGCACCCAATACAGAGGATTGCAGCCGGAAGGCGATCGACGATGCGACAACTCGACTGTAGTGGTACCGCAAGACGACGCACTGGCGTACGCCTATCTGCAGCCCGCGGCCAGTGCCGGCCACGCCGACGCGCAGTGGCTCCTCGGCACGTATGTACCTCCTCCTCACACACGTGCGACGCAACGATGCAGACTTCTCAACCACGGACGTGGTGTTCCAGTCGACATGGCCCGCGCGGCCGAGGTGCGGCCAACCCGCCAAAACGTGCGTCCTCAGATGCACCTAGCTCTTCACGGCGTCGACGCAACAAGGCAATCCCCGTGGGGCCTTCCATCTGGGTACTCGACCTCGCTTGGCTACGTCTACATGATCGGTAGCCAGGGACGATGCACGAGTACGGCCGGTCCGTGGGTCGCAACTGGACGAAGGCAGCGTCGCTCTACTCGATCGCCGCTGCCCACGTACGTACATCGATACTACGTGCACTGCCAGCGTGGAAGGACAAGCATACTAGGACGTGCCCGAGGCCCTCTACTACCTTGGGCTACTGCATGCCTACGGGCGCGGCGTCACGCTCGACCACGACCGCGCGTTCGATCTCTTCCAAAAGGTTCTTCTCCGTTTACGCCATCGCGCGAATCTAGCCTCTTGGGTGCAGGCGTCCAGCCTTGGCTACGCGCCGGCGACCTACTACCTCGGCGTCTTGCACGTGTCGGGCCCGCGCCCGATCGACTACGACGCCGGCCTCCGGTACTTTGAAGCCGCGGCGCTGGCCAACGACGCGAGCATCTCGACCAAGGCGCTGACGGCCGCGTCCGAGCTCAAGACGCTCTTGGCGTCCGTCGAGCAACGCCAGAAAGATGCGTACGCGCACTACGTTCTTAAGGCCACGTAGGATTGCATCTCGGTCATCTCGGCGTGGAGCGCATCGGTGGCGGGTAGGTGAAGGGTTAGCGACGCTTTGGCCCGAGCGAGGTACATGCGGCAGGACGGCCAGCGCGCTGCGTTGAAGAGCAGCTAGCCAGAGACAATAGTCAAGACGTTGGATGTCAAAACACACAAAATCGTGTATGCACCTGCGCCGCCTTCAAGTACTCGTGTCCGAGCTCTGCGTCGAGCGGGTCGTAGTGCGTCTCGAGCACGGCAATGGCTGCAAGACACGCGTCCGACGCTGCTGCGAACGCGCCGTGCATCGCCAGCAACTGCGCGCGCAGGTCCAAGGCCTCGGCGATCGCGACGTGGTTCCGTGGCAGTGACGCGACACGAGCATCCACAAGCGCATCGATTTCGGTGTGCAGCTACAGTAGGCAAGACGCATGAGTAGACGTCGACTGCGTGGACGCGGCAAGAAGGCTTCGTACCGCCGCCGCGTCGTCGCCGCGCGCGAGCCTGTCGTGGATGGCATCGGCCGCGCGCTTGGACGCTGCGAGAAAGCGCGTGGTCTCGTTCGCCTCGGCCGATGACGTGGCGCGGCAGGCAGCGCAGTGACAAGCAAAGCCATACTGCTCGTTGAGGATGCGCTGCCGCTGCGTCGTCGGCATCTTGGCGCGGTGCGGGCCGTACGAGATGGCGATCTCGTCGCCTTGGGCCACGGCCCGCGTCGTCACGAGGCGCAGGGTGCGTCCCGTAAAGTGCACGCTCGCATTCGGCGCGCACGAGTGGTTGCACATGGCCATGGCAGGGAAGAGCCCGGTGCCGAGCCGGGCCTGGCCCACAACGTCGACGCCACCCTGCGTTGTACTGGATGTTGTCGTGATGGCGACTTGGTTGATCGCGACGCGGCTCGCAGCCGCCAGCAGCCGATGCGCCATCTCTTCGATCGTCGACGCACTGGCTTGGCGCTGCACCGCCGCGAGTGCGGCGGCGTAGAGGACGCGGGATACGAGCGTTGCGGGTGAGGCAAAGTCGACATCGTCGTGCAGCGTCAAAAGCTCTTCATGCCGGTGACCCACGAAGCGGTACTCGTGCGGCGTGACCTGTCGCCACATGTCGGGAGCCGACTGAAGCGCATCGAGCAGTACGCGGCTCGTCGATCGCAGTGTCACGTGCGACTGGTGCGAGACCAGAGAGACCACGCCTTGGAGCCACGTCGGAGGCGCTTCGAGACACCCCTCGTCGCAGTCGAGGTAGACGATGCACTCGGTCAGTATCGCTCTCGACATAAAGACGTAGCCGTGCACGCGTCCGCGGTGGCACAGCGCGTGGCACGAGCCGTCGACCGCCCACGTTGCCATCGCTGCGACGAGGTCGGGGAATCCATTGCGAGCGATACCCAGTGCTGGGAGCGGCGCGCGATGGAGCAGCCGTTTGAGGTCGTAGACATCGCGCCGGTGCCACGGCCGCACGTCCTCACTTGAGCGAACGGCCGTCGAGACGCGGAACTGCAGCGCGAGGCGTAGCAGCAGCCGCGACGGACAGTCCAGATGCGTGGCGCAGAGCGCGTCGTGCCATGGGGTCGCGGCAGCTTGGCACGCATCGCTGCAGTAGACTGCGCACGTGCATGCATCGCAAGGCACAAGGCTCTCGCAGGCTGCAAAGCACAGCTCGCAGCGCCCAACATGGTCGAGGCCCGCCGACGCGACGGGGTCTTCGACGAGCACGACCGAGCCCGCTGGGATCGCATGCGTGACCTCGAGATACCGGCCGGCGTGCGCTGACGTGGCGACGCGGACGTGCTTATGGTAGTTGGGGTGCGCATAGATGGCCTCGTCCATGTGGCGCGGCGGCAAGACAACGGCGGCCTGGAAGGGATCGACGTCACGTGGCGTTTCGACGAGCGTTTTGGCCATGCCGAGATCGTCTTGCGCCATGGCCAATGGCTCTGTGTCGGGACGGAGGCTCGCGCAGAGCGTGGCGGCGAGAGCGGAATCCGTTGCGATGCAGGCCTCGAGCACCTTGGCGCGACGGAACCACGCCTTTGGGTACGGCGGATAGCTCGTGATCGCGCGCGTCGCATCGGCGAACGCGTGCTCGAGCGCCCCAAGCGCGTGCCACGCGGCGCATCGGTTGGTGAACCTACGCGATGAAAAAGTCAATTGCGGGCCAAGCATCGAGGTGCGCACAGAATGCTCTGGAGCTGCGCGGTCGGCTCGTCGTCGATCGTGAGGAGCCGCAAGCCCTCCGAGAACGCTGCAATTGCCTCCTTGTAGTGCTTGGCTTTGAAGGCAGCATTGCCGCGGTCTTTGAGTACATCCGGCGTCAGAGTACTGGCGGGCTGCTTGCTGTGGATGGCGTCGCGCAGTGTGGCCACAGCGCCGGGCGTGGTCGTGATCGCGGCCACGTCGTGGAGAAGCGCTGCCATGAGCCGCCTTCGGTCATCTGTGCGCTCCATCCTCTGGATCGCATCGACCTCGAACGTCGGCGGAAGAAGCGCCCTTACGGCGTCTGTCAAGTGCTTGCTGCTTGCTGCCATTGCGGCCGACGATGTGTTGGAAATCAGGACAAGTCCGAAATACCGAAATTCATTTTATTCAGCGGCGCTCAATATTTATTATAATTTTGATATCTTGGCGCAGGTCGCGGGATCTCGCCGTAGCCGACCGGCGCGGCCGGCGGAAGGTCATGGTAGCCAAGCGGAGCAGCCGTGGGATGGTCATGGTACACGTACGGGTTGCCGCCGCTGGCGCCGTACCCGCGCGCCGGACGAGGCTGGACGAGCATCTCGTTCATGGACGTGATGAGGTAGTTCTGGTGCGCAATCGACTCGTGCATCTCGTCGATGCGCAGCGCCATCTCTTCCTTCGTCAGCGACGACCACGAGCTGCTCGTCGTTGCGACTGATCGGCTCTCGGTGCTGCCGCGTCGCGCTGGACGGCCGTCTTGGCGGGTGCCCGCGCGGACGTCGCCTGCGCTCACTTTGCGCGACAGCGCATCGTCCTTCATCGACGACGTCCAAGTCGTAACCGTGCTCGCGACGCTGCCCTTCCGTGCCATCGAGCTCATAGACGACGAAGTATACATATCGTCGTGCGAGCTGCTCGTCGAGCCAACCACCGAGCTGACGACGGAACCGGACCGGCTGCTTGCTTGGCCTACCCGCGCAGAATTGAGCACACCCTAGACTGCAATGCGATCGATACCGTCACAGCACGACGCATGGATCGGGTCGTCAATGTAGATGACCGAGTCGTTGCTGCAGTGCACGGACGCGACGTCGTCCATGTTGGAGCCACTGCGCACTACTCGGAGACAGAAGAGAATGAGCTGCCCCGTCGCGTCGTCGTCGATCAACTCACAGCGCATGGTCTTGGCTTCAACAAAGCATTGTTTGCAAAACTTCTCCTGGACCATGAGCTTGTCCGAGAGCCTCCGCGACGGCCGGTCCACGCAGTAGAGCTTGACTGTGCACGCGCTGCACATAGCATGGCCGCAACGCTGGCAGTGGCCATGGCGCCGGAGGAGGCTGCTGCTCTTCGTGCAGACCGAGCACGTTTTACTACGCCATCCATATTCAGGTCCTGCCAATCGATGGGCGTTTTACGTGTGCTTGGAGAGCGTCAGCGCAAAGGCGCCGGTCGTCAAGAGCAGCGCTTGGTACGCAAACGCTTCGCGCGTCACCGACAGAAAGTCCTTGGTGAGGCTCCGCGGCAAGTACACGCCCATGTCCTTCCAGAGCACCATCGTCGACCGCTGCTTCTTGGCTTTGGCCGCGAACCGAATCACGGCGCGAACGGTCACGGCAACGCTGCTGTCGTCCGCCGTGTGGTACAGCTTGACGGTCGCCAGCGACTCGTTGCTCAAGCAAGCGTCTTTGGGCTTTGTCGGGTCGGCCATCGGCTCGGAAATGACAAAGTACGTCTCGCGGCCGTGCCGGTCCCACCGTGTTCCTGCATACTACACAGCCATCCGATCTCGTCAGCACCGACCATGTGCAATTACACGGGAAGACGACCTCGACAAAGGCAAAGTCGTGCTGGGTCGAGTCGAGGTCGCCAACGACGGGGCTAATCGCGAGCTTGAGGACCTTGACGCCGAGAAAGTGCCCAGCATCCGCACTTGACCGGCGCTGGGAGACGTTGAGGACGGCAGCATCGACGAGCGCGCCTTCGTAGAGCACGGCGCACGTGGACCGGTAGGCCGGTGTTCGCTCGTTGTAGAAGGCGGCGCGGAGCGCATCGAGCGTCGTGTGGAGGCGGCCCGTGCACACGTACGTGGCCTTCGTACTGTTTGTTTGCGCAAAGATGCGCCACCCGTTCTTATCGAGCGGTCGCGCCCACGACTTGTCGAGCAAGACGGTCGGTTCATGCCACGCGATTGGATCCGCGAGCGCGAGCTGCAAGACGCGGTCGAGATTGGCCATGTGCTTGGCGTACGTCTCGGGCGAGAAGACCATGCGCGGGTACGTCGCCATCGTCGATCGATCCGCCGAATCCCAGAATAATGACCTCGCACCACATCGGATCTGGGTGTCCCACTCGCGGCTGCGACCAGGTGCTCAGTGCCACGTGGGTGTACCATGGTAGTATGGCAGCTGCATCCAGCGAAAGCAGTGAAGTCGCGTTGGGTGCCGAGGCATCTCCGTTCAGGGTGATGGGGCCATGACGCACATATCCGACGGCCAACCGAAGCATCCGGGTGTTCGCTCCGACGGCGACCGTCTCGTCGGTCAAGCAACCGCACTGAATCGTTGTCAACAGTGGCGCGGCTCTCAGATCTGTGCGTCCGCGTCTTTCGAAACCGCAGCCTGCACTTTGGAGCACGGCGTGACGACGACACGAAGCACCACTGCCTCTCGTCCTTACATGCCTGAGGAGCTGCCATCGTGTCGTCGTCACCCACGGCGCTTCGCCCGGACGGGCGCACACACACCCTCGCGGCGGGCGCTAGCAGCAAAGGGAATCCATGCGTATCGTGTGGATAGCTCTTCGACGCCACCGCGTCCCAGTGACTCGAGACGTAGCCCTTGCGCGGATTGTTGCGGAGATCCACGAGACGGGACGAGACATCGCATTCATCTCCGCAGGATGCTACGGTGTCGAACCAGGCCACGACGCTGTCTGTCACGCGCGATTGCTTCGCATCCCACAGTGCGTCAAGACAAGCGTAGTGTGTCTCTGTACCTTCCCACCAGAAACTAGTTATATCATTGCACTATTATTGGTCACGTCAAGCCGACAGCAGCCTTGGTGCGTAGTGTTACGCGCGTCTTCCGCATGCAGAACAACTTGGTATCTCGCTCTGTCGACTGCATGCAATCGCGACGTTGACAAACCATGCGACGATCTGATAGCAGCGCAATCCTGCGTGGCTTCCTGCATAGAGACGACGACGGTTTGCATCTGTGTCGGTCCGGTGGTTGCTCAACCAATTGACCGGAAAGGCGGATGGCTTGGCGCCACGACCGAGAAAGACACCATGGCCTGGCACATCAGTAGCTGCCGCCGACACACATAATCGAACGGTACCGAGCGATGCTAGGGCCGTAGCATCTCAATGCGCCGACTCATCGGCGTGACGAACAACGAGTGACCGAGCGAGGCAAAGACAAGCGGACGATTGCAACGATATCTACCACACATCCGGATAATATGTGTCTATCCGGATGTGTCGGCGAGCGTGGGTCGTTGACACAACCGTGACGAAGGATGGAGTCGGCCGCGGAGGACGTTGGCCGCGGCCTCGTCGCGACGCTAAGTGCTGTGGCCTTGCTTGGCTTTGGCGAGGCCTGCGTTCTGTGCAAGAAGCCCGTGCCATTGCGCTATGCGCTTCGCTTCGCGACGCACAACGTGCTGCATAGCTTTGTGTGGCGAACAATCGAGTCGCCGCTGCTGTGCCACGCCGCGCGCCTGCCCTCGGTCGCCTTGAACGACGCAAGCTTGCTCTCCGAAGGCCTTCGTGCGGCGCGGTATCTCATTGCGAGCTACGGCCTCGTGCACCAGCTCTTGCGGCTCCATACTCCCGTCACGCCACAGCAGGACGCGATCCGCACGCCGTTGGACCGCGTCGTGCGGCTGAGCCCCGGTACGTCGCGACTCTCAGGCGTCTCTGCACAGCAAGAGAGCTCAAGCAGCGCGACGAGGGTGCTGCCCATTGCATGGAACTCGATGTCCCGTGAAGACGTGCAGATTCGAATGCACGAGGTATGGCCTCTTGTCGACGCAAGGAATCCTATGATACTAATACGCTGTGCACATGTAGTGGTGTCTGCAGCACGAAGCTCCACTGCGCGACGATCTCTTCTTGCTGGAAGTCGACCTCTCAGCGCCGTTTCCGAGTCGTGCGGAGGCTGACATCGCCGTGCACGCCATGCGCGGCCTCGTGCGCCCCTTTCGCGGTCCCGACGGTTCTTTATGCTCTCAAAATGACGCATCCGATCGTATCTTTGGATAGCGCTTGCTCGGCACTTGGACGCGATCGTCGTCGTGCTCGCGTCTCCGTGGGCGATGCCCTCTGTGCTCGATCACCCGTCGTGCGACGTTGTTGTCAACACGGCGGCGGTGGTGGCGCATACGGTGGCTGGCTTTGTCCAGCGCGCGCAAGCAGCACCGACGACCAGCGTGTGCATCTATGCGGATAGCGCCGCGCTCACGCAGGGGCTGCTGCAAGAAGACATCGTTGCGTGCGCCGCCGACATTTCGCGCGCGTCGGTGGCAACGACCGAGGCTTTCATTGTCGCGCTCGAGCATGGGGGTGCAGCTTGCGTCGAAAGCCTCTTGGCACAAGGTATCTACTGCAGCTGCGGAGCACGATCGCGTCAAGCGGTGTAGGCGTCCCACCGACCCAGATCATTTGGGTCCAGCAGCAACCTCAATCTGTCGACTCGGCGGCTTGGGTCGTCCACATTCCGACGCTCTTGAACGAAGAGCTGGCGGTGATCCGCGCCCAGTTGCGCTGCGGCATGTCGGCGGCGCTGGTTCAAGACAACGTGCGCGACAAGTACGGTCCGCTCAATGCGCTGCAGGGCGACGCGCCGTTCCGACGGGACCGGCACTCGGTGGTTCGTGTAGTATAACTCCATTTCGGCAGTAGCGACGACGACGTTGGACGAGGGTTGATCATGAAGTAGTATAGAAACAGACGAGCGTTTATGTCGCTTTAAGTCATGCTCGGCCGGTACTTTTTGGCTTCGACTTGGCTGTGGGCGCTGTAGCTCGTGCCACCGGCCTGGAGATGCACAATGTCCTTGGCCCGGAGCTTGAGGCCCGTGATGGGGCACGTCATGGACGGCGTCACCATCTCCTTGAGACACGACTCCATGATCACTTGGCCGGACGGGCGAAGAAGCACGACCATCTGATGTGTGATCGCCTTGTTGCTGACCTAGATGATTGATGAGAAAGGCTCCTCGATGGTCGTCGTACGGCACAGAGGACGACGCTCTCGCCTTTGGTTTCGCTCTCGGAGCGCTTGAGCTGCACGGGCATGAGGTGCTTGAGCTTCAGTGGCTTGTTGCTCATTGGGTCCCGCGTGAGCTCGTCGGGCTTGTCCATCGTCACTTCGGCCGTTGGCGTGAACCCTGGCACCCAGAACGACGTGCGTTTGAGTTCGTGGCTCTTCTCTTCGATCGTCTCGAGGTCGACTTTCGACATGATCTGCAGCGCGGCCCGCTCTTCGGCGCTCTTCTTAAAGGGCACGGCGGTCGTGCCACTGAGGCTGGCCTCGAGCTGCGTGCGCTCGGCCTCGTGCTTGGCCGCCTCGTCTTTCGCCGCGCGACCTTCTTCCTGCGCCTTGAAAGCCTCCACGTTGAGTTTGATTTGCTTCTTTTGCGCCAAGAGGTTGGCGTAAATGCAGCCCTTGCAGAAGAGGTAGCCGCAAGGACTTGCGAGCGGCTCCATCTTGTCCAGGATCGGCTTGAGGCAGAGACAGCAGCTGCCAAAGGCGAGCTGCGCGTCCTTTCCGAAGCGGCGCTTGAGCGTGCCATGGCCCGCAGCCTGCTTTTCACGGTACGTGAAGTGGTGCGTCGCGGTCGAGTTCTTCGAGTGGCGGCTCATCCTGTGGTCGCTCCTGGTGCAATATCGAAAACTCTGGCTCCTACACCATTTACGTTTCACACGATTCGGAGGCGTCGTCGTCGACACGGCCATTGAATAGTATTAGCTGTTTTAAACATGTACACTATCACAGTACTAGCTGTCAACACGTTAATAGTGTTAAATTAACGGCACATTGAATGGGAAAGTGTGAGTTCTTGAATAAAAATGCCCATCACATCACATACGTGAGCTTGGCTTGCTGCTACATCGGCGCTCTTCGAGGCAAGAAGCTTGTTCACAAGGGACAAGAGCAATAGAGGCGAGGTCATTTTTGGCCAAGCTACAATCGCACAACACAATACGATGTGTAAAGAAGGACTGACGAGCGTGGGTCTGGCTTGCCCGCAACGACCGAGTCTTTCGCCCCGAGGCGCCCCTTGTGACGCCTGAGGCAGCCGCCCAACGAGCCGCGTTCTTGACCAAGCTGCACCTCCAACACTTGCTGCTGAAGCATTGTGCCTCTTCCAAATGATGGCAGCTCTGCGGCACGAGGCATGGCTACGCGACAACAACTTTGTTCCGGCATGTGCCTTTTACACGCCACGTCTCCCGCTCGGCTAAGCCTCTCGGCGGCCGGCTCGTCGTAGCACCTTGGAATCGATAGTCCACCACCATATCCAGTTCAGTGTAAATTATATCTGAATGGACTCACTTCAACAACTGACGAGCGTGGGTGGTTTCGCGCGGTGGCAAATCACCAAACCACGGTGGCAAATCGCGTATGACACTGCGTGGTGCGACACCCACCGCTCGATGCAGCGCGTCCATGGGACCACCGTGCACTTGCACCCGACGGCGGCGACGATCACGAGATGCCAGCGCTTTCTCGTCGCACGCAGCGTTTGCATGGCTGCGATATTAGGAATCCTGCGCTGTGGAGTGTGCTGTGGGTAAGATCTGGGTCACCAACGAAGAATGCCAGACCAGAATGCAGTACTATTAATAGTACGACGTTGACGCATTGTAAAACAAACAGTACTTGCCGATATACAGTGTATGAGCGAGGCCCCCGACAGGCGTGCAATGTGTAGCACGCGTGGTAGTTGCACGTGAGCGATGTGGAATCTGCACCCAGCGCGACCAACCCTTGGCCACGAAGGCACCGCGGCGTCCATTCGGGTGGCGTCTTGGCTCGCGGTTGCTGTCTCGGCCTGGCTCGCGGTCACCCGAAAGCTGCGGCCTCAAACTGCTCGTGCGTGAATTGTGGATCGTTGCAAGCTGCACGGCGTCTGAGTTGGGAGGAGGATTACAGTCGTGTCACGTGGTGTCGTAATTGGTGTGCCGACGACGTCACCGAGGAGGCGGCCGCCGCCTCTGCTCGTTCAGCAGGGCAGCGCTCGGCCATCGCGCGCTTCGGGAATCTTGTAGCTTGGGCTACTTGCACGTGACACAAGTGCTGCTTCGTCGCAGAGAAATGGATTAAATTAGAGGTGTGTACTGTACAAGCCGGCTTCTTGGTCGTCGGCTATTGAATAAAGGTCATGGCAAGCGCACGGAGCGGGTAGAGCGCGACGCGCTCTTCGTGCGCGGGCTCGGCCATGATGGCGTCGTACTGGAAGTCGAGAAAGTAGCACGACTCATAAATAGTGTCGAGGTCGTCGAGCGGTTTCTTGTTGCGCGCGGCCATCATGTTGAAGCGCGTGAACGGAATGCGCTTGCCGCCGACGCAGTACTTGTCGCGGATCTTGAACTGGTCGGGAATCGCGACCGGCGCGCGTTGCCACTTGACCTCCTTGCGCGCGTAGCTCGACGAGCGCTGGAGGTACGTGTCGGCGTAGCTCGTGTTCGCGTACGAGCCGCTGCTAAAGCTGTACGTCGCCGGCTTGATGGGCGAGGTCGACTTGGTCGGCGACGTGAGCATCATCATGCACGGCTCCTCGACCAAGTTGCTGCTGAACGACGGCGCCCGGTGTTCCATCATCTTCATCGTCGTCCTGAGCTCGAAACTCAATTTTGGGAAATGACCACTTGCAGCTGCAACCCCATTACAACTGCGGATTCTCTACAAAAAAACGGCCGGTGGGTGTGCTTTTCCCAGCACGGGATTAAAAAAATGGCTTGTTACGTATATGGAGAGTGTATTTAATTCAACTTTTTTTATTCAAGGACGACGAGGATGTCGTAAAGGGTAGCCTGCCGTCCGATATTAAATGTTGGAGGATTTAAACGGTGCCAGCATGACGAGCTTGTACACTGTTGTTGTCGTCGGCGACCTTGAAGACTTGCGCGGAAAGGAGTGAACACGATGGTGCGGCGACCGTGGTCCTTAAGAATGCGAGCCGATGCCTTGGACGACAAATGTGATGTGTTGATGGGATGATGGAGGTGGGGGTGGTGGTGTCCCTGTAAAGCAGTAACGATCTCCGACCGCGAACTGCAACCTGGCTGGCATTAGTTCGTCGAACGTGGGCCGTTGAGCCTCCTGTGCGGCGGGTGAGCACCGGTTGGTCATTGTCAACGGCAGCCTGTCCGCAAGGCAGGTTGCTGATGGTGATACACCAGCACAGGACAGAGCACATGAGGGATCGAAGTTGGCAGGATTCGTACACCGCGGCAGGAGTCGTAAGTTCCAGCAATCTAAGCCCGACGTACGTTTGACCGATACACACTTTTGATGATACTGATAGGCTAAACATTCCTGCCACATAGAATCTCAACGAGAGAAAGCCCATCGGATCAAATATGAGAGTGAATTGAGTTTGAGAATATTTCTTTTTCACACGTGGCATTGAAGACTTGATTTGCTTCTGGATCCTGGATTCCGCGCGATCCAATTTTTGAAAGGCGTCGGATACTCGACTCTCTTCAAGGGTCGCGCAGGCTACTTCTATGCAGAATGACTTTGCTTGATGTAGAGCCTCGTCACCAGTACGGCTGTGTTCACCAACCAGTCCATGCAACGATGGTTCACGCATTTCTAGTCTGCTGTGTAACTCACTGGTGTGACCGTGAGGCTTGAGACTTGAGCGCATCGTGTCCACAAAACATCCTGGACTCGCAACGATTGAAGTGCACCTTCCCGTGCATCCAAATTTCGATCTGGCGCTCCACGAAGTTCGTTGCGCGGTTGTACTCGCTGAATCTGCCTCAACCCTGTTGCACGCTGACCGACGCAGGGTGTCCAAGCCTCTCTTGCCCACTATAGACAGCGAGGTTACATGAATCTTGGTGCCACCGTATTCTCTGATGTTTGATCTACCAAGCATCCCGAGCTTTTCTTGCGTTGATCGCTTGGGACGTCCGGATCAGTATCGTGACGTGGCAGAGCATTTTCCCACAAACTGGACGAACTAACTTAACTGTAGCGCTTAGACTACTAAGTATATGTCGCCGCCCACCGGCAACTACAGCTGAGCAAAACAAGCCTGCGCTGTCGCCTGTGCATCCGCGATCCGGCAAACGAACGAAGGAATAAGAGGCTGCTAGTGTCTACGAGTGCTTTGACTCGCTGCGTTTTCGAGCGGGGATGAGAACAAAAATGCTGCAAACGGAATGAGAGAGCGCTGGGAGCTCTCATCTATGCGCACTGTCAACTGCTCGATTGGGCAGCTGCCCAGGATGAATTGACCGGGTTGCTGCATCATCGACATACATACCCATGTCCTTGACAAATGACCCTCATTCACTCCGACGTTGGGTGTCAATGGCAGTATACTGAATCCAGTACTTCAAATCCATGTTGTTGGCGTGGACGTGGGAATGGCCCGTAGCAACTGCAACTTCATGACGGTCTACAATCCTCCAGTCCAATAAGGTTACTCGACAACATCAAGTATATTCACTTGTGTACCATCGCACGCGATGCCCGACTTGGCGCAAGCTCCATGCCAATAACGGAGGGAACGACGAGGAGCAATGCGGCAACGTCAGCGACCTAGAGTCAAACCAATCAGCACAGTTTGAGAGAGCGTCGCGACAAATGACCCTTTGTTAAGCTGCGCGTTGAAAGCAACGCGCTTAGATCTCAGTACTGAAGCCTAAAACGCGAAGATTTCTTGTGCTCCTACTGTTCTCTCTAGCACTAGTACACACCACGGCGCCTGACACGAACAAGTAATTCGTTGAGACACAATTCAACGACAACTGTCCTCGCAATCGGTTCGTAGTGCTCGGTTGTAGGCACGCAGCGGCGAAGCAGCCATAATTTACTCCTCCAACGTGGTGGCGGCAATCCCTGTCCAGTGGCTTCTCCTGTTGCCGCTGTGCCATCAAAGTGGCTCAATACACCTGAGTTCTCTAGCTGAGCCCCTTTGATAGCACCACGACAAAGTGGATCCTACCGCAGTGTTCCTGCAAGATGATGTTGATGTGAGTGCGAGTGGCTCGTGACGCGCCGTCCCAGCCTCACCGGAACGTATGTGATTCGAGCTGTGATTAGGTTGCTGCCTCAGCGCAGCCACTCACGACACCATCACTCGGCGGCCGCTGCAACCAATCTCGCGACAGGTGGTGCAGCAAAGCGATAGAAATAAGAAATAATATGCAATTAAAACATAATTGAAGTATATGATTCTTTGTGTACATGCATCAAGCTGCTTGGAAAGACGACGGCCGACCGCAAATATGCATTTCGGTCGCAGACATCAAAGAGGTGCACGTCGACCGACAACCAAACTTGGTACCGTCATTTTATTCAGGTTTCTTACGCGCGCTCTTGCTCTTTGTATGGAGAAAAGAACGTGCGTAATTAATGCGTCAGGGTGCAGTCGAACCCGCGGCGCTGAACACCGAATTCTACTCGTCTGTCCCTGCTGCCACCTCAGATTGCATTTTGCTACCTCCAAGAACAATGCCCAACCAGCGGACAAAAACATCGTTCTCGTTCCGCGCGCTTTTCGGCCTCCGCCGCAAGCAAAAAAACACCAAACTGCGCGACGACAACGAAGCGTCCTCGGTGGAGACACCCGCGTCGACGCCGGCGTCGACCCCCCAGAGCAGCTTGGACTCGGCGTTTCACGAGCCGGTGGTGATGGAGAAGACTCCCGTGCCCGTGCAGATCCCGATCGCGTACTACTACAGCCCGACGACGTACGTTGGCGGAAAGAAGGTGCCGTTCACGCGCCTGCACGCCAAGCAGAACCGCCGTCGGCTCATCATTTACGAACGCATTCACGAAGACCGCGCGTTCCTTGTCAACTGGCGAGGCGACTGAAGCTTTGCGCAGCTCAATTATTTACGCATAGTATCTATCTAACCTACAATTATTTACGACAACGACAATAAGACACGCATATCCTCTTGTCGGCGGCATCCAGGAAGGCTTGGTGCTGGAGCATGCAGCTGGAAGGCAATGCTGGAGGTGTGCAATGGGGCCTTGAGCCTTAGGCCTTCTTTAAGGCCCACCAAGCTACCCACGTATGGAAGTGAAACCCAGGTAATTTATCTCGCAGTTTGTATGTTCGATGCTAGCAAACATGGACCGGGGCCCTATGAAAATGACACGCTTGAAGTTGACGAGGCCGATCTTATCCCCATCATAAAATTACAAAACCATTATTTAAATATACATACCACAATCCATACATAAAACTCCATTTTCAAACTATTGCTGCGTGCTGGGACCATTCTTACAAATACCAAGATAATAAAATAAATCGAGCCATTTGCACGTTCGAGCCCCAGAAAGGTCGCATCAATCTTGTTGCGTCGTCGTCATGCTCCGCGCGACCAAGTCGACGCCGTTGCTGCGGTCCTGCGCCCGCGCGCTCTCTAGCGCCGCCGAGACGTCGGTCGCCAACAAGATTGGGAAGAACGTCTTCGCCGAGTTCTCGGCGCTGGCGGCCAAGCACGACTCGCTCAACCTCGGCCAAGGCTTCCCATCCTTTGGCACACCAGCGTAGGCGCACGAGGCATGCCATGGGCTCATCTTGATGCGCTGTAGCTTTCTCAAGGAGGCCGCCATCGAGGCCATTGCCGGCGAGCACAATCAGTACACGCGGCCGGGCGGCAACCCGGGCCTTGTGAACGTGCTCGCCGATGTCTACTCGCCGCTGTATGGCCGCCAGCTCAACCCGCTCACGGAGATCGTGACGTTCACGGGCGCGCAGGAGGGTATCTTTTGCATCTTCCTCTCGCTCCTCTCGGCCGGCGACGAGGTGCTCATCCTCGAGCCGTACTTTGATGCGTACATCAACATTGCCAAGCTGCTTGGCATCACGACCGTGGGGCTACCGCTCGAGATGGACGCAGCGACTAAAGACAAGTACAACGACATGGCGTGCACGGACGCGTTCAGCTCCAAGGACCTCGTCTTGGACCTCGCCAAGCTCGAGGCCTCGATCACGCCCAAGACCAAGATGCTCGTGCTCAACACGCCGCACAACCCGACCGGCAAGGTCTTTAGCCGCAACGAGCTCGAAGGCATTGCCGACATTATGCGCCGGCACCCGGACGTACGACGTCGCTGGCATGCCATGGTGTCTCATGCTTCGTTTGGTCTAGATCATCATATTGTCGGACGAAGTCTACGAGTTCATGTGCTTTGAGGGCACGCCGCACGAGCGCATCGCGACCTTCGACGGCATGTACGACCGCGTCATCTCGCTCTTTAGCGCCGGCAAGACCTTTTCGTGTACGGGCTGGCGCGTCGGGTACACCCAACACATGGATATATGCCATCAACACAGCATCGAACCATAACGTTTAGGTATGCGATCCTGCCGCCCAAGCTCGCGCTGCCCGTGGCCAAGACGCACAGCGCCGTGCCCTTCTGCGGCGCCCTTCCGTTCGAGCTCGCGGTCGCCAAGGGTTTCGAGGTCGCACGTGCGAATGGGTACCTCGACGAGCTCCCGCGCATCCTCGAGGTCACGCGCATCGCTGCCCGCAAGCGACTTACACATGGATAGGCCAAGCGCGACGTCATCGTCGACGCGCTACAGGCCGCCAACCTCAAGCCGATCGTCCCGGACGGCGGCTACTTTGTGACGTGCAACGTCTCGTCGCTCGACGCGTACAAAGAGTTTGCAGCGTTTGAAGGCCGCGCAGACCTTGAGCCTGAGGTAACGACTCCCGCCAGCAAACGATTATGGATGCGATGTCGCGTCTAGATGCGGCCCGACTACCAAGTCGCTCAGAAGCTCTGCATCGAGCACGGACTCACGGTCATTCCAACGTCGCCGTTCTACACGTCGGTGGCGAACCAGCCGTCGCCGGCGCTGGTTCGAATCGCGTTCTGCAAGGACGACGCGACGCTCACCAAGGCTGTCTCGATCATCCAAGGCTTGTAAGCGGTTGGATTGAAGAGCGTTATGAGACTTGTAGCTTGACATATGCAAGGATTTTTTGGGCCGTTGCATCCGATGTCCATGGCAGCAGGCGCTTCCAATGCATCCAATTGAACTTGAGCCGACGTACTTGGTCGACGCTCTGCGCCATAAACTTGGTCGTGAGCACAAGCTGCGTCCCGATACTGAGCTCCAAGCCGGCGAAAAACTGCCACCGAGCGACAAAGTGGGCATCCGTGGGGTGCCCCCGCAGCAGCATGACCAGCGCCGCGCCGTCCGCCGCCTCGTGCCTACAGTAGACCGTCGCCTTGCAGTCGACACGTGGTCACGTACCGTACCGCGCCGTGTCGAGCAGCCAGGGCACGACGCTCTCCGGTGTCTTGGCTTCAACGCGAATGTTGGGGTGGCGACGGGCCACCTGTGCTTGGACGTCGGCCACCGAGCGCGCCTATCGTGACGGTGACGATGATGATAAACGACGACGACTACCGGGGCGTTGAGCACGACAAACACGACTTTGGCAAAGACGGCGGCGAGCGTGGGCCACGGCGACGTCGTCTGCAGGAGCCGAACCAGTTGCTCGTAGGCGTAAATATTGACTCCGAGACGCAAACCCAGCACAAGATCGCAGTCCAATCGACTCTCTTCGTGCGCGGCAACGCCTGGTTGCTGCCAGCCCGTCGCAAACGCCGTGCGCTTGAGCCGCGGGTGGTACATGATGGCGATGGACGGCGCGACGGACCGTGCCTCGGGTGCGACGCGGACGGGCGAAGCTGGCATTAAGCTGAACGACGGAGCATCCATTGCCGTCGACAAAGCGCTGACCGACGGAGGCAACAAGTTGAAGGATGACGTTGGAACACCTGCTGGTGGTGCGCCAGGGCCTGCCGACGGTGGTGGCATCAAGCGAAACGAAGGCGCCGATGTTTCGAGCGATGGTGGCTGCAGAAGCGGTGGCGCCGGTGCGACGGCACCAAGCAAGTTGAACGACGGAGCGTCAAAGGCATCGCCCTCGATCGGAACGACTGGCGGCGCGACGGGTGTTCCAGCCGGCGCGCGAGGCAATCGCAAGAGACCGGCTCGCGCGACCGGCTCGGATCGGTGCATCGGTGTCACGAATGATGTGGCTGGTGCTGCAAGAGGCTTTTGCACCATCACTGGCGCGGCCAGTGGAGCAGCCGGTGGCGCCGTCGTCGTTGCACCATGCTGCAGTTGCCGCTGGCGCTGAATCTCCATCGCTACCCGCCGTCGCTCTGCCATGCGTTCGATTTGCGCAGGCGTCAGTCCACTTGCGGCTGACGCCGGCACATCTGTCTGTGGCATCGGTGCCGGCGACGGTGTTGCCGCTAGGATCCGGGCCGGGCCATCTGTGTGGACCTCTGCTGGAGCAGGTACGCTGGCTGGCGTCGGCGGCGCTTGCGTTGGAGCTTGCGTCGATGGCACTGGCGTTTGGATGGCAAGAAAACTGTGACGTGGGTCGTGCAGCTGCGTGCGAGTACTGTAGCAGCACGTGCAGAGGTCGTAGCCGATGCATCCGGAGCACGCGTAGCGGACGCCTTGGATCGGGTTGAGGTCACACCCGTCGCATCGATACCCGTGGTGCAGCGTGCCATCGTCCTCGTCGCCAATCTCGTCGTCGCCAAGACTGGCCAGCGACTCGCGGCGAAGCAGCGATGCAATGACCCCATTCGAGCTAAAGTGCCGCCCAAGGCCCGGCGAGAGCGACCGGCGGCGGTAAATCGCCTGCATGGAGGCGGGCGACAACGCTTGACTCGCCACATCGTCGCAGATAAAGCTGTCGTCCAGCGGCAGCCCAGCAGCCTCGAGGGCGTCCTCGTCGTCGTCGGACGACACCTAGCGCATGCTGTGACGCCATGTTCACGGCGCCGTAGTAGTACCTCGCCATCGACACCGACGTCGACCTCGAGAAACTGCTCCATGAGATGCTTGCTGGCGCGCAGGCGCTTGGTGCGCTTGGATGATTTGATCGACTCGTGGCGCGACGACGTGCCTTGCTTGAGGCGTTTCCGACTCTTTCGTTTCGCCTTGTCGTCGTCGGGGGTCGCAAATATCGCAGACGGTGACGCGGGTACGTGCAGCAGAGACGCATGCGACGGACAGTACATGACGAAGCGCGTGTCATCGCCCGCTTGGATCTATACCAGCGATGTCATCCAAGGTATACGCCACGAGTGTGTACCTGGCCGAGGGCGTACCGGGCATGGTACCCGCAAGAGACGTGGAACGACGCGAGGCACTTGCGCTCCGCGCACTGAATGATGCCGACGCCGTTGCTTGTCTTGCAGACCTCGCATTGCAGCGTGAACCGTTCCGGGTCCTGCACAAACCGACGTAAGCTCTATCCAACAACCATCGCATGCGTGTACCAACGTTTCGAGGGACCCGAGGCGGAACCCCGTGGCCTTGGCCGCCACGACGCGCAGTTCGGGGATCCTATCACGTCATCCAAGCCACGCACGGTTGCTCCTCTGCGTACCAGAGGAAGCACTGGACGTGGACCCATGCCCCGCATTGCGTCTGCATGAGCGCGCCGGCCTGGACCGGGCAGAGGGCGCACTTGGCGATCCCGCCTTGCTTCTTGACGAGACGGCAGTGGTCGCAAAACCAGGCGTCCGCGGGCACGGTCTCGACGCCGTAGCACTGCTGGTGCACGCCAACATTGCAGCCATCGCAGTACAAGAGTGGGTCACTCTCCACCGAGTACGACTCGCCGCACACTTGGCAGTCGTCCGGCAGCGCTTCGTCCGCGAGCCCTTGGCTTGGTGTCTTTTTTGATTTTGTCGGTGGCGTGTACACTGCGATCGGAGACAATGCGGTGGGCCCTCCCGCGAACGGCGGCGACCGCAGATCCACGTGCAGCGGCGGTTTGGTTGTCGGTGTCGCGTGCTTCGGAGCCGAGGACGGCGTTTGACGCGCGAGCGGCGACGCGAGCTCCATCCGGCGCTGCACAGGGCGCTTGGCCGGCGTCGCAAACATCGGTGGCGGTGGCACCGCGTCGGCACTCGGAACGACGTCACTTTCGTCGACCAGTACCTCGTCGTTCGTTGTTGGCAAGAGACGCGGGAACGATTGCGTACGCGGTGGCGTCGACGCCACCACACCAAGCGGCGAAAGGCGCGGCGTCGCCCGCGGGCTCTCGGTCGGGGACGAAGGCGCATCGTGCATGGCCGCCGTCGAGAGCTCTTCGAGCCACGCAATCACCTGTGCACCCTGCTGCAGCACACTGGCTGTCGGATTCAACGGGCGTAGCTTGGGTGATGACGACGCGTCGACGCGTGGTCGCTTGGCGGGCGATGGCTGCACAGGGTCTTCTGACTTGGGCATGGCCAGCTTCTTCTTGGGCTGCTTCATCGCGCTCATCATGCTGCTGTCCGTGTCATGGGCCCCACTCGCCCTCACGCCGAGCGGTTTGCACGGCGTCATTCGCGTCGCAGGTACATCTGCGTTGACGAGTTTATGACGCCTTCGTGGCGAGACGCGAGCTTACCTGGACAAGCGATCGGGTTGGTGGTGGTCGCTGGCAACAGATCAAACACAGGCGGGTCGTTGTCGCGTTGATGCGTCGCCAGCAACGGCGCCGTCCGATTCGCAGCCTTGACCGGCGTCTTGACGATTGGTATCGACTCGGACAAGAGTGTACGCGGCGACACGTCACTGCCCGTGCTGTTCTCGGTGGTATTCCTTGGAATTGCTGCCGGTGGCTGTGGAGGCACACTTGGCATCAGCCGTGATGGCGCGACGGGCGGCGGAAGCAGAGAAAACGAAGGCCCTTCGTCGTCCGATAACGCTAGATCGACGATTTCGTGACCAGGATCTTGGCTCGCGCGGTCCAAACCAGGATCTTGACGTGCGCGGTCCAAACGAATAGGATCTGGGTTTGGGTGGTCTAGGCCATGATCTGGGCTTGGGTGGTCTAAACCATGATCTGGGCTTGGGTGGTCTAGACCATGATCTGGGGTTGCGCGGTCGATACTTGCGAGGAGGTGATCCTGGCTGCCCATAGAGTAGTCGAGTGCGTGGGCGTCCTCATCATCGAGATCCTCAAACGGAGGCGGCGGTGGTAGACTCGCGCTTGGCGGCATCGGTGGCGAACTTGGCGTTAGCGACAGTGGTGGCGGCTGGGAGAGCGCGACGCTGGCACGGTCCATGCGCACGTCAAAGTCCATGTCCGTGAGCCTCTCGCCAGCAACGCAGTGTAGCAGTTGGAGATAGCAGCGCGCACGTTGCGACTTGCCAAAGTGGTGCGGCCGCGACGCAAGATGGAGACGCCTCGGCGTCAGCACATTGGGAGGCCGCCGAGCCGCGACGTTTCGGCCGAAGCGAAAGCCCACGGCCTGCTGCTCGCTCTCAGTAAGGCGCCAGAGGTCGTCGTCGGCGACTGGCGTTGGTCGCTTGGACTTTTTCCCGCCAATCAGCGACGCCTGGAACGTCGGCACGACCATTTGGCTCTCGGTGATGACCGGATGGATGCCCCGCGGTACCTACGTGATCCGATCTATCAACGTATCAACTGTCGAGTGTAATACCATGCGCGGGCCCGCGACATATTTGAACTTGTCCTTGAAGATGGTCAGCGATCGGTTCACGGCCTTGGCCGACGCGACGCTGCGCTCGAGCTTCTTCTCTTCCTCGCCTTCCGTCACGAGCAAGACAACGCGGCCGACACGCTTCCGGCCTGTGCGCCCCATGCGCTGGATCATGCTACTCGCCGTCATGCGCTACAAGCAAGTCGAGGATAGTACCGTACCGGACGGGCGACGTGAGGCAGTCGAACGACACGATGAGGTCGACCTCGCCAATGTCGAGGCCCTCTTCCGCAATGCACGTGGCCGCCAGCACGTTGCAGTCGCCGTCGCGAAACTTGGTGACGATCGCCTGCTGCTGCTTTTGCGTCTGCCCTTTTTCCTTGCCCTTGCCCGCACCTTGGCCCACGAACGCCTGCACCTTGATGAGCGGTGCGAGCGGCGTTAAAAGCGCAACGATCTCGTTCACGGATTCGCGGTACTGCGTAAACACAATCGCGCGCGTGCTCGAGTTGCCCGCGCTGTGCCGGGCGAAATGCTCTTGCAGCACGTTCTGGAGCTGCGCCAGTTTGGGGTTGTTGCTGCTTCCCCCGCCACCTGCCTGCGCGTCGACGAGCGTCCGCAGCGTCTGAAAGTCGGCCGACTCGACGAGGTTCTTCTTGGGGCTATCGCAATTTGAAAGTCAATTGGATGACGCGCTCGTGTCAAGACGAACCCCGTCACGCGCTCGCTCATAAAGTTGTCAAGGTACGACTTGAAGTTGCCAATGCCATGCGTGGTCAGCACGTCCCGCCCGTGCAAAAGACTGGCCTGCGTCGCAAGTGAGTGCATGTAGCAAGTCATAGAACGCGTGCTTGCAAGCACATTGGAGCGAGACGTACAAGGAGTGCGAAGTCGACTTCGGCCGTTCGGTACCGCGGCGGCTGCGGTCCTGCCCGCATGCGGTCCCGGGCCGAGACGATGACCCACCGCGTGAGCTTGTCGGGGTCGCGGATATGAAACAACTAGAATGGACTTGCTTCGTCCACAATCTACATATACTATCGGGTAGAGAGCCGCACGTACTTGACTCGTGCACAAGCGATGCAAGATGGGCTGAAAGAGCTTGAGAAACTGGACGCGCACCTGCATGGTATAGATGTTGCGATTCAGATTCAGATTCAGATAGCAAATCGGACGTACGCTCGACACTTCGCCGGTCATTTTACACTTGATGATTTCTTCTTGGCGCGAGTGCGTGTATTTCCTACCATCTCAATCTCAATCTCAATATGAAAACGAAAGAGTACCGGACGTCAGGGTCGTCGCCCGACTTGCACTCAATGTGCGAAATGCGCAGATTCGAAATGACTTCTTGGATCACATCGAACTTAGCGCCTGGCGTGGCCGAGAGCGCGAGCACGCGAAACCCCGAGATCTTCGACGCGATCGCCTTGACGACCACCGTGTACGCGTAGTTGCCAGTCGCGCGGTGCGCTTCGTCGACGACCACGCACACGAACGACGAGACGTCGCAGTTCCCGCGCTCAATGTCGTTCTGCATGCTCTGCGGCGTGCAGAAGAAGACGCGCTTCTGCGCCCAGAGCTGCTTGCGGCGCGCCGGCGGCACGTTGCCTTGGAGCTCGGCCATGTCGTCGTGCGGGATCGGCATCACGCTGTGGCACGCCTCAATCTGCTGGCTCACGAGCGGCTTGGTGGGGGCCATGAACACGATCTTGCCACTCGGGAACCACCGATAGTAGTTGTACATGACGACCGCAGCGATGAGCGTCTTGCCGAGACCGGTCGGGAGACACACTAGCGTGTTTTGGAACAAGGCCGCGCGCGTGATCGTCTGCTGGTACGTGCGCACGGGGTAGTTGCTCGGGTAGATCCAATGCGTCGCCAGGTCGCGGTCGATGGCCGCGCCCATGACCACGTCTTCTTCTGGGAGACATAATGGCTCGGCCACAAGGCGCAGCGGCGGCGGAGACGGGCGAGGCGCGGGACGAGGTAGCGACGATGTCGTGGGCAAGGCTTGTGCCTGTCGCGATGGTGTCGTGGTTGGTGTCGGCTGGCGCGATGGCGTCGCGGCGCCTTGTCGGACGGGCGTTACGACGACGGGCAGTGCTGGTGGCTGGGGTCGGGGCGCGGGTGGTCGGGCGACGGGCGCGGCGACGGGAGGAGGAGATGGCTTGGCGACACCGAGCCACGACGCCATCGAGCTGGTCGCTGTCGTCGTCGCCATCTTTGGTGGCGCATGACCGATGCGCCGATACATGCACACACCGCACGTTGCCGTGTCGGGCAGGTTGCGCAAGGTACATCGAGGACACGACCAGCCCGTATCTTGGGCTGGCGCGCGAGCCGCAGACAGAGGAGCGGCTACGACATGCGTCTGCTCGACGCGCTCGACCGCGAGCGCGGCTTCGGCCCACGCAGCATCGTCCCAGTCGTCGTCCATAGGCGGGAGGATGCTGTTTTCGCCCGCTGCTCTCAAGTTCAAACTCAATGCTATGCGAATGATTCCGGATAACCGGTGGAAATTTTCTGGAAAGATTTGGCGCGTCAGCAAGTCGAGCCCAGTGTACCGCGACTGCATCGTACCTACCTACCGGTATCGTAGCAACGAAGAAGACGAAATCTCTTGAGCCGCAACGCACGCACGTGGCTCGGCGAGCGAGAGGACACGCCACCACATGCGAGAGGCGCACCGAATTTGGACGCGTACGCAGACCTGCACCAGCACCTAGGGAAAACATACTCCCTAGACCAGTACGGTCAGCGTGATGGTGTCGACACACGCGCCAGGCATGAATGCAAATGTGCTAGCATTCTCTACAGGGCGTCACCGAGGAAACCCCTCAAAGTGAATGGCTATCCATAGAAAGACCCACCCTTCTGACAAATGGGATCGTCGCGCGGGCAGTTCGTGGGCGGTCCTCACTGCTCATGACTCCACGCGAGAAGCTGACCGTGGATGAAATGGATGCGGTGCTTGGTCATTGGAGCACTCGTCGACTGCAGGTGGACACATTTCGAATGGAAACACTACCGTTGTTATGGTACAAAACTCTCATTTTACCGGTGGCCATGCGCGTGGTAGTAGTTGTCGCGGGTGCGGACGCCACCGCCCCAGTCGCCGCCATTGCGGTAGCGAGGGTACCCGACGCGCTCGCGGTACACGCGGCGCTCTTGCAGCTCCAAATCCGCGTGCTCGTTCCACGTGTACAGGTCGTTGTTCTCGCAGCACGCTGTGTTCATAAACTGCACGTACGTTCCGAGGACGAAAAGCACGAACGTGGCGGCAAAGTACGCCCAGTAGCTCGTCGGAATCGCATACTGATAGGCGCCGGCGTTGTCGACGCGTCGGTACACGTGGAGGTCGTCCGCGTTGGCATAGCCGCCGACAAAGTACCCAACGCCCCACACGGTGGCACCGGCGCCGGTGAGCGCCATCGAGACGACCAGAATCGGCTTCTCCATCGAGTAGGCGAGCGCGCCAAAGAGGAGGCTCAGCACCGCGCCAAAGATGAAGAGGATACCTTCGGGGTACGCGGGCCACCACTTGTAGCCAAACGACGTGGCCATAAGGAACGCGAGGACGAGGCCGGCGATCGCACCACTGAAGAAGACGCCGAGCCCGAGGACGTAGATACTGAGAAAGCCGCAAACGAGCCCGAAGACAGCAAAGCAGATCCAGCACACGGCCGTGTAGTACGCCTCGTCGACACTCACGACACGCTCGGCGGTCATGTAGGCCACCATGCCACCGAACGCGAATCCGCTCATAAAGAGCGTCGGTCGGAAGAGCTTGTAGCCGTAAAACACCATTGCGATACCGAGGCCGATGCTGGCGCCGGCGGCGAGCGACGGAAGAACCGCGATCGCTGCAATCCCCGAGGACGCGAGAAGACTGCTGGCCGTGTTGGAGACGACGATCGGGGGCGGCGACGTCGTCGGCGTTGGCGTCAACGAAGGGCTACCACCCGAGACGGTCTTGAGACCGACGGCGCGCACGCCATATTTGAGCAAAAGCAAGACCGAGTCCGAGACGTTGACGACCGTCGGCGAAGGCGCGTTGGTCACTTCGAGGCCAACGCTCGAGACGTGGACGACGGCGAGAAGCAGGAGAAAAAACAGGCGCAAGTGGCTGCGCATGTTGCTCGTCCAAGTCGAAAGCGTGTATACAATGCATTGCCTCCTGCATTGCCTCTATGCGAGCTGCGCTCAACCTATACAGAAGAACGGCGACGCCATGTGGACATTGCGCGCCAAGTCGCGAAAATTTAACGACCAAACGGCTTTTAAAAGTCAAAAATGAAAATAATTGCCACCTGTGGGGTTTGAACCCACGCAGACGTTCGTCTAGCAGATCTTAAGTCTGCCCCCTTAGACCACTCGGGCAAGATGGCACTCACATGTCTCTGCACAGTTTTTTGTAAACTAATTACTTGTAGAGGTCATTTGACAATCGAAGGAGGTGGACCTTAACGGTGCTTGGTCTCTTCTTCCAGTAATTAATGCTGGCGTATGCACCGGTGATTTAAGCTCTGGGCGTGAAGTTGGCGACGATACGAGGCGATTTGGCACTATCACGACGAGCCATTGATTTGACGACGAGGGGGTGATGTGACTTGTATTACGTTTAGAATAGCTTGAAAAATGTACGAAGATACGTTTTTTATATTAATATAGATATGTATTCTTTCCAGGACATGATGCACGTTACGGTTGGTCGGCAGGTGGAACGGAGCTTAACCGGTTGGACCGAACCGAAAGGGCGCTGGCCAATGCATTTGAGCGAATTCGGGTCAAGATCATGCTCGCCCGCCGCATCCTTGCGTCGCCGCTGCGCCGACCAATCGCGCTGCTTCGCCATGCGTCCTCGTTCCAGTCGCTTGGTCTTAGTCCCGAGCTTGTCGACGCGCTCGATGCCAAGTCGATTGCTTCGCCGACCGACATCCAAGCCAAGACGATCAAGGCCGCGCTGGACGGCGCCAATGTGATCTGCACGGATGCCACGGGCAGTGGCAAGACGCTGGCGTACCTCCTTCCCGTCATTGAAAAGCTGCGTCGGTCCGAGCGTGCGGCCGCCAAGAAGAGTGACGTACCGCTGACGCGCGAGGTGAGTCGCCCCAAGGCGATCGTGCTCGTGCCCAGCCGCGAACTCGGTCTTCAAGTCGGCGCCGTCGCGCGGGACCTTGCGCACTACGCCAAGTTCTCGTCTTGCGTCATCACTGGTGGCAGCGCGCACAAGCCGCAAAAGAACGCGCTCGCCCGACCGGTCGACGTCCTCGTCGCGACGCCTGGCCGGCTCGCCATGTTCCTCAAGAGCGGCCATGTCTTCGTGTCGCGCGTCGAGTACGTCATTATCGACGAAGCCGACACGCTTCTGGACAAGAAGATGGGGTTCCGTGGCATCATGGACGAGATCCTCAAGCCCATCGAGGCGAGTGCGGCGGCCAAGGCGCGCAAGGTGCAGTACCTCCTCGCCGCCGCCACCGTTAAACCGCCGATGGACGAGGTTTTCTCAAGCGGCTTCAAGGATCTCAAATGGGTACTACGCCATCATCGAGTCGCAATCAAGCTGCAATCTGCACTCTGTAGGTCTCTGGCGCAACGGTGCACCAAACGCCGACCGCGATCACAGAAGAGTTTATTCGCGTGCCGGTACGACAAAACGAATATCTACGACTGCTCATCGATCGACCTGTCCGATATTGATCGCGTGGACTTAGGGCTCGGATGGCAAGCACGCGGCGCTGCGCGAGTCGCTATCGTACCTCCAGGACGGCAAGACGATTGTGTTTTGCAACTCGACCTCCAGCTGCCGGTCCACTGAGCACATGCTCCACGAGCACGGGTACAAGTCGACGTCGCTTCACGGCGACATCCCGCCGGTGGTGCGCAAGAAGAACTTTGAGTCGTTCCAGGCCGACGCTTCGATCCTCGTGTGCACCGACCTGGCAGCGCGCGGCCTCGACCTCACGGCTGTCGACCACGTCATTAATTTCGACTTTCCGAAATCGTCGGTCGACTACCTCCACCGCGCCGGGTACGATGCGAAGCTGTGCATGGGTATTCATTTGAAACGTGTATGTAGCCGCACGGGCCGCGCGGGAAAGCGCGGGATGTCACGTCGCTCATTACCAAGCACGACGCGGCCGCGGCGCGCTTGCTTGCGGACGCCAAGGGCCGTCGCAAGCCCATCGCCGACATGTCCACAGACGGCACGATCAAGCTGCCCAAGTACAAGGCGCCGAGCGACGCGACGGCTTCGGCCAAGCCGGTGACCAAGCGTCCGCTGCACCCGCGCTTCAAAGGCACGCGGAAGCTCAAGGCCCACAAGATTCGAACGTGGCGCAAATAAGATATCACACATCACATAGAGAAGAAGACGAAGGCAGAACTAAAAAGTAGATTTTCGATGTTGACGAAAGGCAATGTCGGAAGGCAATAGGGCAATTTGGGAAGGCAATATGGAGGTCAGAACGGGCTGACCGATGGTTTTTCAATGTAGACCCAGAGCGTAATAAAGATGAGGCCAAACGCGATGAACGACTGGCCGATGAAGTTGCCCTTGTCCATGAGGCTGTGGTAGCTCCAGCCAAAGTACTCTTGGATCGACATGCGGACGCTCGGGCCGAGCTTGGTCGCGATGAAGAGACCCATCATGAGACTCGCGACGAGGAGCGACGCGCCGTGGGACGTCTGGAGCGAGTTGTACGTCACGAAGAAGCGGATAATGGCCCAGATGCAGCCGAGCACGTGTGCAAAGAAGACGATGACGTTCGGGAGCTCGGTGATCGAGCCGCGCGACGAGCTGCCCGTGACAAACCAGGTTGGCTCTTTTCCCGTTAGCTTCCACCAAAACGTCTCAAACACGGCCGACGTGTGCGTGAAGGCGTACGCAAACCACGCTTCTTGGGACCGGACCACGTCGTTGTTTTCAACCGACCGGTTGCTCAGCGCCGAGAGCATGCCTTGGATGAGGAGCTTGGGCACGAGACCGTAGAGGAGGCGGAGGCCGCCGAGGTAGATCGGCGCGTAGCCCGTGAAGAGAAAGTAGAGCGTAATGTAGTAAAAGAGGACGGCGCAGATGGACCCGATCGGGTAAATGGTCGAGTTGATGTAGAAGACCTTGCGCATGAAGCCGTGCTTGGTGGGCTTGGGCGGCAGTGCGCAGCTCGGCCGCTCCCACTGCGCGTCAAAGTAGTTCTTTTTCTTGTTCATGAGCATGATCTGGAAGTTGCCTTTCGCCCAGCGCTTGCGCTGCGCCAGCGACGACGCGACGTTGTCAGGCACGAGGCCTTCCGCGAGTCGAATACGCTCGGAGGGCTCGCCTTCAAAGTCCTTGCGAAAGTACAGACCCTTCCAGCCAAGGCCACACAGCTGCATGCCTGTGTAGCAGTCTTCCGTGAGCGATCCGTACTGAATCCCGCCAATCGAATCCAACGCTTCGCGCCGGAAGATGGCGTTCGTGCCTGCAAACGACGCGCACTCGTACCCGTCTTGGCCCGTTTGGATCGCATCGTAAAATGTTGCGTTGCGGTGGCCGAGCGGATCGCCGATCTGGAACTGGACGCAGTCGCGGAAGTACTGCGGCGTCTGCACAAACGCAACGTGATTGCTGCCAACCGCGTCCGAGTAGCAACCATTGGTGACCAGGCCGTCGTCCATGCTAATGGTGTGGTGCGTGGCGCACTTCTTGCAGAGACCCGTCTTCTTGTGCACCGTGCCACCGCACGTGACGCAGCTCAGATCCTGACAGACCGAGCTCGTCGCGCTGACCGTGCCGTTGACTTGGCGCCGGTGCAGCGCCGACGCCGTGTGCATGGCCTTTTCAAAGCACGCCTTGGAACAGTAGCTCATCTGCTCGTCCGGGACGCCAGCGATATTGCACGACGCACAGCACATGCGCGCAACGAGGTTGCAACCTGGCGTGCAACACATGTACTTGTGCTTTCCTTGTTGATCTTCCGAGTCGAAAAAGAATGGCAAGGTCGCGAGGATGAACTTGGGGTGCGGCTGCATGTCGTTGTCGAGGATGATGCAGTAGCGACCCGACGCGCCTTCGTTGTAGCACGCGTTGTTGATGTTGCCGGCCTTTGAGTAGTGCGTCGGCGGCTTGACACGGCCAATGAACGTGACGTGCGGAAGACCGCTGTACCGGTAGTCGTCGCGGAACGACCCAACCGCGCAGTCGGCGCGGTTGACAACACGGGGCCGGGACGGCGTCGGGAGGTTGGCGGACGAGTGGAGCTTGCGCCAAGCGTAGACTTCCATGTCTTCGTTCGGGTCGCCGACGCGGTCGTACATGTATTGCGCAACCTCCTGACGCAAGTCGCCGGCCTTCTCCATCACGCTCTTGTTGAGTTCGATGGTTGGTACGGGGTCGTTGGCCGTCCACTTGGCCTTGCAGTAGCCGTCGTCAAGGATGAATATCTGAAGCAAATGCGGCGGGTACTGGAGGTTCATGCACGCGGCGAGCGTATCGATCGTCTCATCGGCCGGCTCCGAGTAGTGGCAGATAAAGATGTCGACCTTGGGCCATTGGTCGTCTGGGAGCTTGGGCTCAAACTCGTCGAGGTAGTGCGCACCGCGGCGCACAGGCTTCCACATACCAAGGTAGTAGATGCCACCAAGCACAAAGCTAATGCATTCTGCGAGAAGGAGGCAAAGATACGAGATCCATTGGCCAACGCTCGGCGATGCAAAGCAAGCGACGCTGCCGACCCCGGCAAAGTCGAGCCAAAACTGCGGCGGGGAAAATACCCCGTTGAACGGCGATGATTGACAGTGGAGCACGTCCATGGTCTGCGATAGAATCAAGCTGCACGAGTCGGTCGGTCGCGCTTGATCGCACGGCTGCAGACCGACGACGAACCACAGCACGAGCGTCGCCAACTCGACAAGTCCCGCGAGCAGAAAGAGCAGGTACAACAGGCGGTACGTGGCGAGGCCCTTCATGACGTACGTGCGCACGTTCGGGAGGTTGCGCTCGATGACGTTGCCGGCGCCAGTGGCCACGATCGCACGTTCGACGGCCTCGAACCACATGTGGAACTCGTCGTCCGTCTCGGGGCAGAGCACCCAGAGGCGGCGCTTCGTGTGCACCTCGAAGCCTTTCGTCGGCAAGTCGAGGCGCCCAGAGGGGCGCAGCTGGAGCGCGTCCTTGAGCTCGACAACGCCGACGACGAGGTCGGGGTTGCGCGTCGTAAAGTACTGCCGGCACTCGAGGTCGTTCTGGAAGTAGTACATCTTGGTCTTCTCGAGCGCAAAGTACCGCTTCCGCCAGCTCTTGTGGAGCGGCCCCTTGATCGTGCGCTTGCCTTGCTTGTACATGAAGCCATGCACGGAGATGACGTTGCTGGTCTCGTCCTGGCCTCGCGCGGCCGTCGCCGAGACGCCCATGGTGGCTGGTACGACGCCCGCGGGTCCGTCGCGCCGAGGTTGCCCGACGGGCGGGTGTCGAGGCGGCGCGAGAACTCGACCTCCGTGGCGCGGGCCGGCGTCTCTCCGAGGAGGAAGCCTTCGTCCATGGACCTGCTGCGCGTGGAAATGGCAAATGGGCAACTGCTCGCCGGGGGCAATTTGCTTTGGCCCGTGGATCGCAACCGATATTTGGCTAAAAATAGATTTGCGTTGGGACCTTCTCCGACCCATACAAAATGCTAGATACGCTAGCATTGCGATCGCATTGGCCTATCTTGAAACTAGAAAGACCAATCACAGAAAAGAGTGTTGATATAAGCGATCGGATTGGCCGAAAGAAAAAATAGGTGAGAACAACGCGCGGATTGGCTGAAATCCTACTCCTCGACATGCGGTGATCGGTCGATTGACGCACAAGCTCAAGAGAGCCCAGCTTTGCTATGCACACCGCGCCCCTCGCTGCACCATCGGGCGAAGGAAGCGCCGATGTGGGCCAATAAAAGTTGTCATCGAGCCCATAACAGGGGCTGCTCACTATCTATCTACTAGTATCTATCACCACGATCACCTTGAGCACCCATCCGTGAGCTCATTTTGGTCCTCAATTGCCGATGAAATTCGAGCGAACGCTGCATAAGCCCGAGGCATTGCACACGCTGATAGTGCTGTGCTGCGTCACCTTGGGCCCGTCGACGGCCCTGGATTTTTGGCGCACGACTGCGTCTATAATCACGACATCGGGGCCGAGCTACTCGTTGCAGAATAATGGTGGATGACGCCTTGCCACTGTTGTTTTGTAGTATCGGGTGAGAAGGGCGTCCAAAAGTCGAAAGGCGGGCGTGGGTACCTACTGGCGAGATCTTGTTGATCTCTGCCACAGCTCCATCTATGTTATTGCGCTCGTCCAAGGGCCTTCGATATTCCGGCATCGCAGTCGCGCGCGAGAGTAACGCGGGAACACCCACCTGGCGACCGACGCGGTGCATACAAACACCAAGTGGTTTTTCAAGGTCGTGTGATGCGCATCGTATTTTTATTGCATCGCAGGTCGATGAGCTTGGGTTTTGTATCGAATCGATGGCGCGCGAAATAAAATAGCCAGCTGGCGCACACACCGACGGTGGAATTGCTCATTCGTCATTCGGCTGGACATGTTCCACGCGAAGAAGCACTCGTCCGAGCAGGACCAGTACGCTGGGATCAACACGCCCCAGGCGAGCGAGATGGGCTCGAGCCGGCGTGGCCTCGACCAGAGCCTCGACCGCGGCCTCGAAGGCCGCCCGACGGCCAGCCACCAGCGCCCCAACACGGAGCCGCGCGGGCCGTCGCAGGCGCCGGTCCACATGGCCGACAATGCCGGAGGTAGCGCCAAGGACAACATCATCACGGTGCATGGCTACATGCACAAGCAAGGCAAGCGCGCGCTGAAAGGCCCGCTCCACAAGAGCTGGAAGAAGCGGTACTTTGCACTCGAGAAGGCCAAGATCTACTACTTCCAGACGCACCTCGAGTGCCGGCAGTACTTTACGACGCGCAATGCCGACTTGGTCGTCGGCGCCGTCGACCTCAAGGACGCACTCCAGCTGCGTCCGTCGGCACGCCTCGACTTGCCGACGAAAGGCTTCGAGGTGCACACGAAGCGCCGTGTGTGGGTGCTCTGCCCCGAGTCGGACGAGGAGTACCGCATGTGGTTCCAAGGCGTCGAGAAGGCGATCGTGTCCAATGGCGCCGGCAATGTCATCGAGCGCAAGCTCCCGAATGTGCGCAAGTACGAGATGAAGGGCGTGACGACGTACCGGTTTCTCTACTTTCTCTTCCTCCTCGCCGGCCTCGTCGAAGTCGCGGCGCTCGTCTTTTGGTTCACGGTCGGCCTCCAGCCGTGCGACCAAGCGAGACCCACGAGCTCGTGCTCGCAGATCCTCCAGCAGACCATGGACGACTTGCACTGCCAGGCCAAGCCCTTCAACGGCGTCTTCAGCGTGCCCAAGTTCTGGCTCAAGTTTGCCGGCGTCAGCAACGTCGTGTGCTTTGCCAAGCCGCCGATCGGGCAGTGGATCTCGTACTTTTGCCTCCTTCTCGCCGAGATCCTCAGCTTTGTGCTGGCCGCGATCTACTACCTCGGCATGTGGAAGCCTGTGCGCCGCGGTGCGCACTACCTCGACGAGTTTGAGCCCAAGCTCCCGGACGAACAATGGCCCAAGGTCGACATCTTTATCTGCCACTACTCGGAGCCGGCCGAAGAGACGATCGATACGCTCGCCGCGTGCATGAACCTCCAGTACCCGCCGCATTTGCTCCAGATCTACGTGCTCGACGACGGCTACTGCAAGACCAAGTGGACCAAAGGCGAAGAGGTCCCGACCATCGAGCTCAACAAGGGCGTCCTCGAAAGCGCTGGCGACTTGCGTCAGGAAATTGCGCAATTTATGTACGACCGCGTCTGCGACCCGAACGAAGACATGGAAGTCTACGCCTGGCGCAAGCTCCACTCGTCCGCCAACCTCCCGACGCCGTCCCGGCCCCGTGTTGTCAACCGCGCCGACTGCGCGGTGGGGTCGTTCCGCGACGACTACCGGTACAGCGGCCTTCCGCACGTCACGTTCATTGGGCGTGTCAAGCCGCCGACGCATTACTCGAAGGCCGGCAACATCAACAACGCGTGCTACAACGAAGGCGCGTCGGGTCGCTACTGCATCATTCTCGACAACGACATGCAGCCGCACCCCAAGTTCATCCTCGCGACCTTGCCCTTCTTTTTCGACTCGGAGGACCGCCAGGGCAAGAGCCAATTCACGTGCTGTACGTCGGGCTGCAACCGGGTCGCGCGCATGTGCTGTGCGTCGTGCAAGATCGCCGGCGTTCCCGAAGAGCAAATGAGCTTCTGCTCCAAGCAGTGCTTTGAGAATGCGATGCACACGGCGTCGGCGCTGCATCGGCGCCAGGTCAACGGCACGATGACCGAGACCAACGCCAAGCCCAACAAGGAGCTTCGCTGCGTCACGTGCGACGCCAAGGTCGACAAGAACGGCATCTGCAAGTCGTGCAAGCGGGCGCACGATGGCGACGACCAGACCGCCGTCAACTTTGCCGAGCTCCGGCACTACTCGGACGACGTGCGTGACAACACGGTGGCGTTCGTGCAGACGCCGCAGTACTTTCGCGACTGCGTCCAGTTCCAGATTGGCGATCCGCTCGGCCACCGCAACGCGACGTTCTACGATGCGATCCAGACGGGCCAAGACGGGTACGAGTGCGCGTCGTTTGCAGGCACGAACGCTATCTTCCGGCGCGAAGCGTTGGACTCGATCGGCGGGATTCAGTACGGATCGCTCACGGAAGACTGCTACACGGGCCAGCAACTGTGCGCGATGGGCTGGAAGGCGCTGTACTTTCGCAAGGACTTTGAGGGCGAAATGTCCGAGCGCATTCGCTTGGCCGAGGGCTTAATTCCGGACAACGTCGCGTCGTCGCTGGCGCAGCGCAAGCGCTGGGCGAAGGGCAACTTCCAGATCATGCTCATGAAGAAGAGCAAGAACTACACGGACCCGAATTGGAAGCGACCGGACTGCGCCGTGCCCAAGTACAAGAAGGCCAACCGCTTCATGCGCAAGGTCTTCTACATCAACTCGACCATTTACCCGATCGGGTCGATCTGCGCCGTCCTCTTTTACTACATTACGCTCTACTTTCTCTTTACGGGCTACGCACCGATCTACCTCGGCGGCCTCCGCCTCCTCTACGCGCTCGTGCCCAAGCTCCTCATCCAAGGCATGCTCTCGGCGCTGAGCAACCGGTCGGTTGAGAACAACGACGTGGTCCGGTCCCAAGAAGCGTGGTTTGTCTACGCCTTCACGCACACGTCGGCCGTCTTTGAGACGTTTTGGTGGAAGATCTCGGGGCGCGAGCAGTCGTGGTTTGTCACGGGCAGCTCGTCGCGCGGCTCGATCACCGAGCTCCCGAACGTGCTCGTCTTTTTTGCACACGTCTTTGGCGTGCTCTGGGCGTTGATTCGCTTCTTCGCCTCGTACAACACGCTGCAGACGTCCCACGGCGCGTCGCTCCTCGTCGCGAGTCTCATGATGGGTCTCTTCATCGCGACCAAGCTCGGTCCGAGCGTCCGCATGTCGATCCAAGAGTACTTTGGGTGGAGCTACTTTAGCCTCATGGACCAAGGCAACTTCATTGGCCAGTCGCTCATCGCGTTTGGCCTCATCTTTATCACGCTCTGGGTCTACATTGAGCAGCCCAGCTCCAACCCGTTTTAAGACCGTCTACCGCACGACGAAAGCAGTCGTTGCGATAAAGACCAGACAATACTACATGCGTTTTGAATTGCGTCCTCAGGATGGAAATGGCTAGAGTTCTACGCTCCTCTTTGGCCTGTACGGTTTGAATGGTAGGGACTGGCGAGGCTTATGCGAGGCTGGGACGCGATCCGCGTGGCCTCAACACCGGCTAGTGGAACACCATCCTAGCAGAACGGAAAGTGGCAGCAAAGCTACCGACTGCCGCCAAAGGCTGTACAGTCTCACATCAACGGGTTTCTACGTACGACTAAACTTGCAACGACACATCGCCTTGTCACGGTGTTCGTTTGCTGGTTTTCCCACCCAGTGCCCTGTATGTGACCGGAGGCGCAATAGGAATGTCTACCGGGTTACCTGAGGTGGTGGCTAACCACGTTCATCAAAGTCGTTCGAGACTCTTTCATGCCCAAGAACCAATGGACCAGCCATGACTGCGTTCAACCACAAACGGCAAACTGGATGTGTGGGCTGCGACCAGCGGCTGCCACGTATTTGACGCTACGTATCCGGATCATACGGATACAAAGACATGGCCGGCGCGCATGCCGTGTACGTGGCCCATGCGCACCTCGTGGGCGCCGCCGTCGTGCTGCGCCAAACCAACATGAGCTTTCTCCGAGGAGCGCTCTATAGCGTGGACCCAGAGAATGGCATTGTTGTCCTCCTCACGCTTGACGACGACGCGATGGCCGTGCAGAGCCGCGCCGTCATGAGCCATGCCATCGCTGCCATCGAAGAAGATGCGGACGGTGGCGTCGACATCGCCGCTTTGCGTGCGCACGTAAATGCGCGTGCGCAGAGCAAGCGATTCGAGTCGCACGAGGCTGCGCAGCTCGCACTGCAGACCTTTCTTGCTAGCGTACATTCGGTCGTGCTCGTTGGGTTGGCACTCATACTCGAATGCTGCGTAGCGCTGCATCGAGACGACCATGGGCGCCGAGAAGCAACTGCTTGTCTTTGGCGGCGCCGCGACGATATCCCCGCCGTACGACGCGTTCGCGATCACGAGCCAAAACGATTTTGTCGCGCAGCGCCTCAAGGGACTGCTGCACGAGTGGGAAGCACAGACAACCACGTAAAGCCAATGGACCTGCTTACCACCGTGTTTACTATTGTCTGTACTAGTACCTGGTACTCGCATGCAAAGATGGCGTGGGTACTTGATGGTCAGCACATGAGGTGGCTATGCGATGCCCTGTCGACGCAGAAAACACATTTTCAACTTTTAATCGATGGACACGATGACCATCGCCGAGGAGGTGTTTATTCTTTCGAGCGTATTATAAGTATACGACAAGGTCGTTCGTTGGTTGACGGTGAGACTAAATGATCAAGGACAAGTCGTTCTCCGGTGCGATGCTGAATGAAGGTGCGACTCCGCGAAATTCACTCACTTTGGCCAATTTCACAATGTGTGTAGCCAATCACCGTCGAGAACGAGTGGAAACATATTTGACGCGATCCATCTCGGGCAGATGAATCCTCAAATGAGCTCCTAGAACCATGCAGCTTGTCGCTTCAATAGATCCGATTGAGCCTACGCGGGTGGTCGGCTACCCCCGCACCTTGACTCGTCCATCGTCGAAGCGAGTGGGCGACGCGATCGCTCGACCATGCACAATGTGGGACATGGTCGGCGTTTGATTGGCTCCTTATCCGGATGGTATCTTTGCCAACGGGCTGGTCCCACTGGGCTTGTCCAAGCAGCCACCGCCGAGAAGACGCGGCAGCACCTAGCTTGCTCGAATTCTCTGTATTATAAGGCGCTGGTATTGTGTGTGGAACCGTCCGATCTTATCGGTTAGCCAGTCCGCCCGCTACTAGGGCAAAAACAGCTTATCCGTACTGGGACACGGCACGGAACTGGGCACCACGCGCGCATTGAGGGAAAAACCCCACTTGGGATCGCGACAAGGATATTACAATGCGAAAAACGGCCCAATATCAACGTATTTGTATGGGAAGCAGCAAATATGGTATTAAAATACAATGATGGTGGTCTTTTTCGGGAAGCAAGCATTCGGATTTGTGCTCGATGACGATGAGCTACGACGACCTCCGAGCGCTGACGCCGGCCGACGCCTTCGACTACTTCAACTACGGCGAATGGACCATCTCGCCCATGGAGATCCAGCGCACGTACTGCCTCCAGGCCAACGACGACGACGGCCTTGGGCCGGGGCTCTGGGTGCTGCGGAAGATCGCCGAGGTCGGCCAGCCCCCGATCAAGGCCGTGCCGACGGCGTTCAGCAAGGACACCACGGTCGAGATCGCAACGCGCATTTCGCATGCGCCGCGCCCGTGCACTGCACCCGTCGTCGTGTCGCCAAGCGCAGTCGATCCATCGAGCGGCAGCGACGACGCCTACGAGTTTGACGGCGACGAGTGTGGCATGGAGGACGACATGGAAGCGTTTATGGAGATCAGCGAAGCAGCACCGGCGCCTCTGTTTGCTGCGTCACCGCCTGCTCCGACGGCAGCAGCGTCGGTCCAATCGACGCCTGTCAAGGCAAGCCTGCCACCGCGCACGAACGGTATCTCGCCCACCCAGGCCAGCAGCAAAATGGCATTGCATCGCCCGAACAAGCGACCTCTCGACCTCTCCACGTCCTTGCAGCTCCTTCCGCCGACTCCGCTGAAAGTGGACGACGAGATGCTGACCGTCGAAGTGGCGCGTGCGCACATGGAGCCGCTCGTGCACCCGCCGCTCGACCTCGACAGTGGGTTTCCCTCGACAGCAAAATCCACGACGCCTCTGTGGACCCGCCTCCGCTCGGGCTTTGATAACATGCTAACCGACGGGTGGAGCTGCCCGGCGCCTTTGACGACCGTTGACGAAGACACCATGTACTGCGACATGGACGACGTGCCTCTCGATGTGACCATGGAGCTCGAGACCACGTCTGTCCCCGAGGTGCCGGCGGCCAAGGCACCAAAGCGACGAAAGACCGCCGTGACGACGACGACGCCGCGCCGCGTGACTCGCAGCCAGACAAAGCTCAAGCTGGAGCGCAAGGGCATTTTCGAAGCCAATATGCTCGAGCACCGCCGCACTTCGACCGACCCGCCGCGCCAATGGCAACGGTGGCAGTCGTGCGGCCATCTCCACAGCACGGGCAGCGCGTGCTGTGATCACCACCAACCGTAGCGGGCTTGTCGTGAACTAATCTTATGTAACTCGAAGGAAATGTACTCTATCTCTGCTGAACACTCTTCGCCACCTCGACCGTCGTTGGCGTCATCCCACCCAGTAGCGACGAGTGAAGCTCGATGTGCATGGGCTTGGCCAACGCAACCAGGAAGCCGGTCGCGCAGTCGAGGACCTCGGTGTCTGAGTGTCGGGTGCCAAGTTACTATTATAATAGTTCGTCGACTCTGGCGTTGGAGGCGCGAGCACTCTACATAGGAAGATTGACGCGAAGAAGCGACCCAGCCAATGCAGGAATTGTATGTAGAATTGATGAAGAGGGATGGCACGACTCATTAGTAGGAGAATTCAGCTAGTGGCTCCACGGAAATCACCCCGATCTGCCTGACAGAGAAGTATAACTCAGTGGTATCATACTCTGTGTTTGCATCACGTCTATTTTGTGAAATATAAAATTTCACAGGTAAGACTTTACCTACTAATGAGTTACAACAACCTATGAAGGCCGCGTTGACTACACTCGCTAGAAAGTTTGCATTTCTATCCTTCGCATTATCTTGTCCAATTTCTTAATTGACGAATCTATGCGCTGCATGTTCGCATGTCCCATAGCCCAACAGCCTTCGTTATCCGGATAAAACCCGCTGCATATCCGGTTGACCCCGGCGCTTGCCATCAAATTGCAATTGCGGACCATGTCCTTCTTCGAAGCCAAAGTCAAGAAGCCGATCGTCGACCTGCTCACGTCGGGAGGTAGATGCAAGCGTCGCCGGCTCCGAAAGGCTCCTCACTCTACCTAGCCTCGCCCCATAGCCTCGCGCTCTCGATGGCCTTTGGCGTGACCTGCGGTAGGCCATCGCGCGAGGTGCCATGGCCTCATGGACGACGTACTAGGTATCTTTCCGATCCCTGGCGTGACAAGTGTCCCGGTCGTCGCTGCCGTCTTCCTCTTTGGGCTCAACCCGGTGGCGGCGATGCTCATGAACTACCTCTGCACGCCGCTCAACATTGCGTCCGTGCCCGTTTTCGTGTAGCTGCAAAACTGCCTCGTTGCGTTTCTGAGTGGGTCCTAGGGCGTATGGCGGCCAGTTCTTTGGCGCGGGCGCAGAGGACTTTTCCGTTTCGACGCTGCTCCAAGTACGTGCCAATCGTACGGTGGCGGTACGACGGCGAACCACTAGGGTCTCCAAGACGATACGCTGGCGACGCTCGGGCAGTTCCAGTACGTACTTCTGCACGCTATCTACATGTGGCTCGTCTTTTTGCCGATTGGGACGCTTGCGATCTACCTCGTGTTGTACCCGATCCTCAAGGTCAGCATTGGGAGTGCGGCCACCAAGCCCAAGACGACCTAAGTTCGACTCGAACGCCGCGTCGTCGTCTCCAAGAGCGTTCCTCTATTACCAAGAGGCAATATCACTGACCCTCGCCATTGATGGCAAGCTCGCGACTTGCACGAATACAACGGAATCCAGCACGCAAACGTTCCGTGCATTCCACGTGTAGGAGGTGTAGGGTTGGTGGCTTAGATGCCCATGCCCACGGGGCTGTACCGCTCCTTCTTCTTCTTCTTCTCGGGCGTGAAGAGCTCGTCAATGTCTTCGAGCGAGACGCCGCGGGTCTCTGGCAAGGCGTGGTAGACGTAGATCGCACCGAGGACGGCGACGCCGCAGTAGATCCAAAACGTGATGTACGTGGTCGTGCCTTCAATCAGCGAGAGGAACGTGAACGAAATGATGAGGTTGGAGATCCAGTTGACGGACGTCGACATGCTCATGGCCATGCCGCGCATCGCGAGCGGGTAGATCTCGGCGTTGATCGTCCACGGCATTGATCCTATTGGTATATCGCATTGAGTCGATCGTGATTCAACCAAGGGCGGGCGTACCCATGCCGGACGCAAAGCACGCCAGGTACACAAACAGCGCGATAAGAATCAGAATGCCGTGCGTCTTGGAGCTCGACGCGTCCGGGCACGACCCGTACGCCCACGACCCGCAGGTCAAGGGCGACGTCGGGCCGAGGTCGTCGCCAGGCACGCAGCGCGCAGGGCCAAATGCGGACGCGCAGAACCCGCAGTGCGTGTTGGCAGCGCAGTCAAAGCACGTCGTAATGTGGCTGCAGACACCGACGCCGTTCACGGACGTTGACGCCGCCTCGGCAAAGTAAAACGTGAGCCCGAGGAAGAAAAGCGAGACGACGACACCCGCCAGACTCAGCAGCGTGAGCGGCCGGCGGCCCATGCTATTGCATTCGTTCAATGAGACGACGAAGCGTCATGGGAAAAGGCGAGAGCGTACCGGTCGACGAGGTAGATCCCGACAAAGGTAAAGAGAAAGTTGCTAAAGGCGACGATCGCACCGAGCCAGACCGCCGTTTGGTTGTCGGCGAACCCGGCCATGCGGATAATGCTCACGCCGTAGTACATGACCGTGTTGATACCACAGAATTGTTGCAGCGCCTTTGAAGCATAAGATATGATGCAACGACCTGAGAACGGAGGCGTACCTGGAGCGAGCAGCCGAGGATGAGCGCACGGCGCACCGACTCGGTCCGGTACAGTTCGTGCCACGACCCGCGGCCCTCTTCGCGCTTGACTTCGGCTTCAATCCGGTTGAGTTCGCGCGTCAACAAGCCTTCTTCGTCGGCGTCTTGGCCGCGAATCGCCGTGATTGCAAGCTCGGCTTCTTCCATGCGCCCCTTGGAAATGAGCCAGCGCGGGCTCTCTGCAGCAGGATGTGTGAGCGGATGAAGCACGAGCGTGCGTCGACAAATACCTGGGAGGTACAAAAAACCAATGAATTGAAGGACCGCTGGCAGCGTCGCGAGGCCAAGCATGTAGCGCCATCCCGTCGGGTGCGAGCTCATTGCGGCCGCAAACACCGTCGCGAAGAACTGACCGCCCGTCACGAGCAGCGTGTTGATGGACACGAGCGTGCCACGTTGTTCTACGAGTCCCGTCTAAGATCCTCGTCTTATGGACGGAAGGCTGGTCGTACCTGGTGGCGAGACTTCGGCAATGTACAGCGGAACTAGGCACACGTGCGCTCGTGAGAAAGGAGTTTAGAGTCGAAGAAGTACTTGTAAGCGACGAGAGACCAAGGCCAAGACCCACGCTGAGCCGGCCGAAAATGAGTTCGTATTTGGTTTGGGCGAAACCCATGAGCGCACTGCCAATAGCAAAGAGAACGGCCGAGATCAAAATGACACGGCGGCGACCCCACGCGTCGTTGGCACAGCTCCCGGCCGCGGCGCCGAGGATCGCGCCAAAAACGGTGGCCGACACGACGACTTCCGACTGGAACGAGTCAAGGTGGAAATCTTCTTGAAGAAAAATGAGTGCGCCCGAGATGACGCCGGTGTCATAGCCAAAGAGGAAGCCGCCGGTCGTCGAGACGAGGGTGAGAAGCTTTAGGTTGCCGGCGCGCCCCATGAC